TAGGGCTCTCTACTCCAGCTGAGAGCATTGAAGTGAGCTGAGCTTGGGCTCCATCGCCTGCAAATATTGGGCACCGCTATGGTGCCAACGCCCTTTCTTTCAGGAGCAGTTGGACTTCTCAAGTTTGAACTGGCCTAAGTGAGCACTGCCAAAGGCAAGGGCTGCAGACAACAGACAAAGCCAGCTGGCATTGGACAGCCAGTTGGCTCTGCCGGTCTTCTTGTGGAGTTCCTATCCTCTCCAGGTTCTTCTATCCTTCACCTCACTTTTCTATAAGATTCACTAAGCTTCACCCAATGTTTGGCTGTGACTCTAATATAATTTGATGTGCTGGGGTGGGCTGCTAGGGGGATGACTCTTCTTTTCTGAGGAGTAGGGGAGGGGGATAGGAAGAAGAGGGAGGGAGGGTGAGACCAGGAGAAGAGGAGGGAGGGGGGTTACAATCAGGATGTAAAGTGAATTAATTAATTAATTAATTAATTAAAAAACAAAACATCTACTCATCCAGTTGGTAAACTCTGTGTGAGAAAATTTCAAAAAGAACCTCAAAAGCTCTCGGATTACTGCCATTTCAAAAAATAAAATAAAAATGGAAAATCCCAAGATTAAAAAAAAAAATCTTTCTTCCCCCCATATATTTTTGATCTAAGCCTGGAGAGCTCATGAATCCAGAGGAATTGCTGCAGTCAGGTAAAAATAGCACTTGAATGCTGGACGTTAAGTCAGGGGTGGTGGTTCATACTTACAATCCCACCCTTGGGTAGCTGAGGCAGGGACATTGCCACAAGTTCAAGGTCAGACTGAACTACATAGCAAGACACCTTCCCACCCCTCAACCCCACCCCACCTCAAAACAAAAGAATAAAAGCCTTCCCCCAGACTGGGTAGACCCTTGTCTCAAGGGTCATCAGGGAAAGCAGGAGGGGAGAAGAATGTCCTGAGAGGGTTAATGCTTTTGTCACCTTGTCAGTCACGATCACTTAGCACAGAGGGGCTTCATCCCCCATTGCTAGCCCTGGGTTGTCCCAGCAGTGAAACTGTTTCCTGCTGGAATCCTCTAGAAAGCTGAGCAAAGGGATAAGGAGGGGCCACCCTGGCTAACTCAGTTTGCTCTATTCATTTCTCCTGGGGACTGGAGTTGGTTACTTGGGGAGAGTTGGGTGGGAAGTGGCTTTGAGCTGATTCTGTTCTCCTTTTACTGAATAATTATACTTTATACCCCCTCTTGGTTTTATAAACTCTCTCTGGTTTTTGTATTTTTTTTTCTTTTATAGTGTTTCTTTTCTGTGCTTGCTCTAATCATTGCCGACTTCTCTTTAAGCATTCATGGCCCCAGAATTACTCAGCTTCGATTTATTATTCGTATCAATTACTTTCTTTTTACCTTGATTCTTTTAGCTGTTTTTCTGCACGATATTTGTTCTGAACATTTTTTCCCTTTAATGCCTGACTGTGACTTCCATTAGGCAGGAGGCTTAATTTCACTTGAGGCAAACTGTGGCTTTGCCTTTGACTGAAACAGTGCCGCTGCTGTAATCAGTTTTCACCGAGTCACACAATGGCTGTGCCATTGTGTGTTGGCCTACCTGTTGGAATTACCATAAATGCTTGAGTAAAAGTCAGACTCACATAAGGTCTTAATTATCTCCGGGAAAGAAACCATCCCTCATAGTCTCTCTGCACCTCTCTTTACCACGGGGGCACAGTGGAAGCTGTTCTGTTTTCACCAACCAAGCTGCAGTGAAAGAAGAGACATTTTGGGTAATCTGAGTCACCCGATGGCCCCAAGGCTCCAGCAGGCATCCCAGGAATCAGGTAGAAAGGGAGAGGAAGGCAGTGGACATGGCAGCAGGACTTGTGGAAGAATGGCTTCCAGTTGTGACCACTTGAGAGACTACATTGGAAATGTAGACTACATTGGAAATGACCCGCCGAGCAGTTAATTGATGGAGATTTTAAATGGGTGTTTATGGCTTAGGGTTTCAAGTGAGTATTTACACACACGGATATAAACTTACAGTAAACTAGTAGTGTAACTCATCGGGGAGGGTGCCTGCTAGAATGTGCGAGGACCCAGGCTCAGATGTGAGCAGTGTGAGAAAGGAAAACAAGGTATTCCATTGTAGATGGCTAGTTCGGGAAGGGCTAGCTGCTACATTGGTGACCCAAAGAACCCCTGGTTCTGACTTGACAAATGGCAGTAACACTGTTTCATGAAACGTGAGGTGAGGTGTTTGTATGTGTACTTAATAATTTTAAAGTTAGGGCTGGGTGTGGTAGCACACATCTTTACCACCAGAACTAGGGAAGCAGGGGCAGACAGATTTCTGTGCGTCCTAGGCCAGACTGGTCTACGCAGGGGGTTCCCGGCCAGACAGAGCTGCATGGTGAATTGTGTGAACATCTCAGCATATCATCTTTTGTTTTTGTGGTGTTGGGGATTGGATCCAAGGCTTCATGCAACTTTATAGTCTGATGTGATATTGCAACTTCAAAGCTAAATGGTAGCCAAAGAGGACTGGGTAGTTCCATCCCTGTCCTGGAAATTCATACATGTGTTTTCTAAAACGCTGATTCAGAGGGGCAAGGCCCGCCTACCAGGAAAGCAGGCGGGGCTGCCTCTGTTTAGTGTGACCTCGGATTTGGATAGATGTGATGCCTTTTAAAAACTGTTTCCAAGTGGACTGTGCATTGTTTCACCCGAGCTGAAGCTGGACTGTGTTTCTCCCCCAGGTATGTGTGCGTTCAGAGGAGAACATGTGCTTGTAGTCTCCAACTGGACATTAACACACCCCTCATCCACACGTCAAGCCCCAAGGCTCCCAGCAGACTTCTGGTTTTGAATCCATTGCACAGTTTTTCTCCATTTGACTCCTTGATTCTTCCCATTGTGAAATCGGGTATTCTAAAGAAGCCATCTTCTAGCTTTCTCCTGCCCGGTCCTGTCCTGCTGCAAATGGCAGTCCTCTTCAGGGGAACCTGTGCACACTGACTTGATTTGAATTTTTTTTCCTTCCAGTTTTCTCCTTTGTCCCTGGACACTCCCATATCTTACCCAAGCTTCATCTCTTAACTCATACTGAGTTGAGAATTGGTTGCTAGCGGGCCAGATCTTGGCTCAAGCTTGGCCTGCATAGCGTCCTTATTGTTGTTTTACATACAAGTTTAAAATTTGAGACCCAATAAAAACTTCTGTCTTCTTTTAAAAATAGACCGGCTGGAAGCACTGGGGCTGGGCTGCAAGCAACTGTGCCCATTCGGTGGGACCTCCCTGTTCTGCTTGATGATGCTCTGGCATTGGTATAAGGTGTCAGCTGCCATTTTTGTTTCATCATGGTTAGACTGTTGAGTTCTCCATAGTAGACATGAGAAAAAGAGTATTTGCCTTCTGATTTTTTTTCTACTCCAATGTAAGAAAAATTAAATCAGGGCCAATCATAGCAGAAAATATATAAATGCATATATATCTACATATATACGTATATATATGGAAAAATCTTCTTACTTTTGTGTATATGAGTATTTGGTGTGCATGTGTGTATGCACTACATAAGTGTGCTCTCACAGAGCCTTAGGATCAGAAGAGAGTGTCAGATCTCTTGGAACTGGAGTTAGGAACTGTGTGAGCTACCATGTGGGCGCTGAGAACTGGGTCCTCTGCAGGAGCAGCGAGTGCTCTTAGCTGCTGAGCCATCTCTCCAGCCACCTCTCCATCTCTAGAAAAGTATTCTCAGTTAGCACTCAGCGCACGTCTGAGTCGCTAGGTACAATCTAGATTCCAGAATTCCTAAGTGTTGACTGAGATGGTTCTGAGATGGCTTGCATATATACTTTCATACAGATACACATTTTTCTTCTGAAACCCAGACGGTTCCCTTTGGTTTAATTTTGTTGTTGCTTTGGTTTGTTTTGTAGTGCTGGGGATTGAATCCAGCGCGTTATGTGCATTAGGCAGCCGCCACAGCTCCAGACCCCAAATGATCTTTTTGGAAACTCTAGGTTCACTCTGTGTCATTACTGACCACCTGCAACATGCAAGAAGTCCATGGAGAGTGTCGGGAAAGGCATCCCGTTCCCTGAAGAGCTTATGCTCAGCTAGCGCAGGGCTGAAGGGCTCCTCTCAGAGGGCTCTACTTGCTTTCTGTCTCCTGTGTCGATGAGTGACATCACCTGCTATCAGAGGAACACTCTTCATTCCATCTGCAAACTCAATTCCCTTTCTCTATGTCAGCTTAACATCTACTCAGCCATAACACCAGGGATTAGGATGCTGACATCTGTGGAATCCATTACTCCACCTGGTATAACATCTGTTTGCTAAACAGATGAAAACGTTATCATCTGCCGACGTGCTGTGACACTTAGTGCGCCAAGCGTGGGAGGCCCATGGGGGCTGCGGGATGGGTTAATTAAATCAGCTTTCAGTTTATTTATTCATTTTATTTTATGCTTCCTTTGTTGATGGGAGGCATGGACAGGTGGACCATAGCATGTGTGTGGAGATCAGGAGTTGGTTTCCTCCTTCCACCATGTGGGTGGACTCCAACTCAGGTCATCAGGCTTGGCAGCAAGTGCCTTTACCTCCTTAACCCTCTTGGCTCTATTTTGTTTAAGTGCTTTTCCAAATCCAGTGGTGACTCGGACTGGTGCTGCTCACAGCGTCACAGACCCCAGCATTTCTATTCCTTGATACTCAGGCAGCACCTGTGTGGAATGTTATGTCAGTTATGTTTAACGCTCAGATGTCAGGTCTGGAACCTGCTCACCATCTACTCTGCCCTCACTGCACTCTGGATTCCCTGAAGCCCTTTAGCTTTTATAGTCAATGGCAATTAATTATGTCCTGTCTTATAAACATTTACTTAATGACCAGGTTTCAGCAGAAAGGGTTAGGGGAGGGTTGAAAGTGGCTCTAAAAAATGTTCACTTCCTTTCAGGAGCAAAATGTCATTCTGTCCTTTCAAGTGCTTATCTGAAATGTATGGTTTTGTTTATTTCAGAGACTTGAAGATAGAAAATTTGCTACTTGATGAAGACAATAATATCAAGCTGATTGGTATGACTTTTTTTTTTAAGCAAAATTTATCTTTAAGTGTTGTGTTGTCAATTACTAACTTTGAAAGTTGCCCATGATCTATATCTAATCTTGATATAAGATTTCTATATTACTCCTTGTACTTCGAATATTTAATAATAGTTTTGATAATGAAAATTTAATTTTTAAAGTAATCTAATAATTTATTTAAATAATAAATTGAAAATATTAGGAAGATAAAAATAGCATCATTTGACTGTGAAATGAGTTTTATAGTTCCAAGTAAATATTTGTTGTTCATATATTTCTTTGGACTTTTTAAGCTTCCAACTTTTTATATGTGTGTGGCACGTGTTCCATGTGAGAGTGTGTGTGTGTGTGTGTGTGTGTGTGTGTGTGTGTGTGTGTGTATGGCTATGGAGGGCAGGGGTCAGTATCAGGTGTCTTTCCACCTTATTTTTGAGACAGGGTCTCACTGAATCCAGCACTAATCCAGCTGGTTAGGCTATGTGGCCAGGAAGCAGCAGGGAACCTCCTGTCTCTGTCTCCTCAGCGAATTGTTGGCATGTGCCAGGATGGCCAGCTTTTTACTTAGATATTGGGAATTTAAACTCAGGCCATCATACCCTTATAGCAAACACTTCCCATCTGAGCCATCTCCTTAGCTCCTCAAACTGTGACTTAAACTCAGATGGTTCTGACCTTCCTTCCTTCCTTCCTTCCTTCCTTCCTTCCTTCCTTCCTTCCTTCCTTCCTTCCTTCCTTCCTTCCTTCCTTCCTTGCTAGATATTTTTAGTTTTAAAGTATATGTGTGCTGCCTGCATGTATATCTGTGCTTCACCTTTGTGCCTGGTGCATGTGGAGGCCAGAGGAGGCCATTGGATCCGTTGGATCTGGAGTTATAGAAGGTTGTGAGCCACCATATGCTCTTAACTGCTGAGCCATCTTCAGTGTCTTAAATTCAAATGTTCCTCAGCTTTTGTAGAGGTTGTTTTTTATGTGAATTAACGAGAAAATTATTAAATGTAGAAAGTAGTCTGGCTCAGAAATATTGCCTGTAGCTTTGAATCTTATTCCACTTTTCCATGTAATTTATTTAGGAAGCCCCAAACAAGGCAGAATGAAACTGACCTTCCCTCTTTAATAGAATCTTAATGCAAATCTGGTGGCTGATGGGGGCTGTGGAGAGAGGGGCCTGCAGCCAGGTGATTAGAATGTGGATTCACTGAAGGGAGGGTGCAGGGTATTAGCTTTTGGCTGGTCCCTAGTTCAGGAACCCCGGGTTAATTTTGCTGGTGATATTCTGCGTGTGTGTGGTTGCTCTTGGCTGTCAATTTCACCCCAAGCCGTGAGGCAGCTACCACCCTCTCCTATATCTCACTTTTCCTTCTTTTCCTACTTCAAATGCAAGTAATTTCCTCTGCTTGGATGGCTTGAAAAGAGCCATTGACATCTTGGAGCACACTCAGTTCCCAGTAAGGCCTGACTCCCAGCTGCAGGGACTCCAGCCCACTTCCCTGGATGACTTGGTATCTTGACAGCCGTTGATGGATTTACCCATTAGTGGAAAATTAACAGTTATGAGGAAACCAATCCTCCCCATGGGGAGAGGGGGGAAAGGCCCTTTAAGGATCCTATTTTTAGCAGATTCTTAGACAAGACCAATGATTTTCTTTTTGTTAAAGTGCTTCACTATTACACTGTGAGAGACAGATAAGAAGCAGTGGGCGGAGGCCTTGCTGAAAGGCCTGTAGGGTGTCTTTCTGGTCCAGCTTTCTGGGATCTCTAGCCTCCTGGAGGGTAAAGGTTGGGTGGTGATCCCACCCAGCCATGGCTAATGGGAAATTTGGAGTTATAAAGGGTTATAAGCCACCATATGAAAATCCAGAGGTAGAAGTGAGAGTTTTCCTAACAGCAGAGATTCTGAGAGAACAAGCTTGGTAAGGGCTGAGTTGATATCATGGTAAAAGCTCACTTCCATCTTTTTTTCCTCGTCCATCTTGATGAGCCTACTGAGTCAAGCAAAGCACTTTTGCCCATGGAGCGTTCCGGGTCCTGTCCAAGCACTGTCCACACTTTCTTTCCTTCACTCTGTGGGCCCCTCTCTGCTTCAGTGACTTTTCCCTCTTTCTGTCAAGCTGAAGCCCTAGAGGACCACTTATAAATCTATCCTGTTGTACAGGTAATGCTGCTTCAAAAGACAGACCTCTTTATTGATGAGGAGTTTCCTCAGAAGAACTGATCTTGGTTCTGATAGACCAGCAATCTCTCAACTGCTGTATCCACAGCACAGAGGACCACTCACAGAAGTAGCAGGTGCTTATGCAGCAGCCAGAGACTGGCCTAATAACTTTCTGAGAGGAACCTTAACACAGTTCCTTAAGAGACAATCCCTAGGCTAGCCCTGGAATTCTTTTCTCAGGAAGTATGATGTTGCTTTTTAGAGACCAGGAACTGTTCCACCCTCCTTCCTTGGGTTCTGACCTCTTAGCTGGTTGGTAAAAAAAAAAAAAAAAAAAAAAAAAAAAAAAAAAGACAAATTACAACTAGTTGTTCAGACCAAATTTGCCTTTGAGGTTGTAGCAGTCCTGGTCATCCACAGTTTGGAAGAGCATGCCCTATGCTGTGCTTGTAGATAAAGAAAGGAAGTCGTGTGCAGAAAGCAGGAGCAAGGCACAGAGGACCTAACGGGTTATAGTCCTGAGCAGCCCTATGGGAGCATGGTTTCAACAGCTGGCCTCTTGGGATGACCCAAGACTCAGCCCCTTGTCGTGAGAGTAGATTGCAGTGTTTACCTGTCACAGAGGTTTATAGTTCACTTCCCATAGAAAGGGCTTCAGTCCAAACCTAGATACATAGAGACATCTTAGGGCAAACTTGATTTGGCAGTACAGGATGGGCCAAGCCTATAGGAGAATGACCCAGTGTCAGAAGCCAGGGTACACAAAATTGTGAAGAAGGAGGCTCTGGCCATTGGCTTACTGTTGACCGCTTCTCTTCTACCTCCCAGTTCTCTTATGACCTAAATGACACTGCAAATGAAAGATACATTGTCTTAACCTTGAAGGTAACAGTTGCTTCCTTCAGTCTGCTTTCCTGGATTTCAGGGGAAGAAGCCCAGTGTCTTATGGGTTTTCTTGCCCCTGGGATGGGCAGTGTGGATCAAAGGTCCTCACTAAGCCTTGTTATTAGAATGTTAACTTGAAAGCCCTTTTGAACCTCTTTTCTTCAAAGGATTTACTTAGGTGGTTTTCAAAGAGGATTATAGCTATTATCATTTTTTTTCTTAATAGTTTCCCTGTTTTTGAAACCATTTGGTTTAAATAAACTTACTTAAGCCATGTTTCAAATTAGCTAGAATTATCAGGAGTAAGATTTTTGATTTAATCATATATTTTTCTTTCTTACAAGAAGAAAGAAAGAAGGAGAAAAAGAGAAGGCATCCTGATACTTGGGGATGCTCACTCATCTGGGGCTGTGAGTACAGCTCAGAGGAGCTGTGAATATTCACTGGAGCCTTCTTTTGAGATTTCATTTTGCAGCTCCCAGAAAATTGAGTGATAATTAGCTTATGTATTTACCAAATCTAATTGAGGCCGACCTATCTGACATTTACTGGGAGGCAAATTTCTCTCTAGTTTCACCGTTCTAATTATAGGCATATGTGTAAAAATTTAATAACCATAATTATGAATGTGAACTATTCTGCTGTTTATTGCTCTACAATATCTTTAAAATCAAGTCTTTTTGTGAAGATAGAGACAACTTTAAATGCAGGTTCTGAGCACCTCTGCTTCCCAAATCCTGCACGGATTTATCTTCTTAAAAGGCACTCTTAAGATAAGGCCAGGCTGATCTGGCCTCTTATCTTGCCCTTCTTGACAGACCAGATGAGGGGGAAGGGTGGAGGTGGCCTGAAAGAGGCCCTTTGCTTTGACAGAGCCTGTTGACCTGAGGCATGGCATCTTTGCTTTAATCTTGGAAACTTCGAGAGATACTTTTTCTGGGACTGCTGTCACGTTAAGCCTCTAATAAGCAACTTTCCTTAAAACCCTTGGCTCCAGGTAACACTGCCATGTTTTCTCTACGGTTCTGTATCTATTCTCCTGGAGGAGGTGTTCTTAAAGAGGCATGGTAATTTCTACCAAATAGCACTCCAAACCTTCTTCTCATCCTCTTTTGCTAATGTGCCTCAGTATATACTGGGACCTGGGGCAGGGCAACAGATGCCTTTTCAGATGAGAGGCCAGCCACGCTCTGTAGCTCCAGAAAGGCTTTTCTGTGCGGGTCTTGTGCATACTGGGGCAAACTGAACCAAAGGGAAAGGAAAGGGCAGGGTAGAGGGTAAAGGTAAGAAGACAGGAGGAGGCGCAAGTGAAAACAGAACAAATAGAACAAAAGAAGGGAATTTCAGTGTTGGATCACAGCCCTGCAGCTGCTTGTTCAGTCCCTAATGTAGGCTTCAGGAGCTCTTCCTCAGGAGCCTGAGCTGAGGGCTTGGCGTTCTTCAGAGCCAGAAAGAGTTCCTGGGCTTCTCTCTAGACAAGCTGTTTGTCACACAGTTCACTGCAGCAAGTGTTAGGAAACTCTTCAGTCTCCTCATCGTGACCCTCGCTGTGCGGGTGGCCTCACGCCCTCGCAGTTTTCTCCTGTGCCCTTTGTCATCTCCTGAGCTTTCTCCCATGGCTTTTGTGGTGGGCATGCCCTCGCCGGTGGAGGCAAGCTAGAGCCAAGCATAAGATAGTCATATTGCCAGGAGTTCTGCTGCAGAAAGCCTGGGGCTTGGTTTCAGCTGCAGAGCCTGTCTCTGGCTTGCCCTGAAGTTTTGGAGCCTTATGTCTGTGGGTTGAGAGCTCAGTGTTTGCAGTGCAGTTCAAAGGATGACCCAGGATCTCAGATCTTCGTACTGAGACCAAGATTGAAGAAAGATATTAGAGGAGAGAAGAAGCTAACAGCTCTCTAATTACCCTCCAGTTGCTGTATCTCTAACATCAAAAATAAATAGTTCACAAAACCCGTAATAGACCCCAGGTGGCCGGGAGGCACATTGGGGCTTTCCTGCTGGCTTCCCAGATGCCTTCCTCACCCAAGAACACCGCCATGAGGTCACTTAGTCTGGCTGGCACCGCCGTTCTGCTGGACGTTCTTTTTCCAGCCAACATGCAGGGCTGTGTAAGTTGTGTTTTGCTTCCCTCCTCCCCCAGTTCAAATTCTGGTATACCTCTGGAAGGAATTTCTGAAAGACTTTAATGAAATGAAACTGAGCCGAAGAGGTCAGTTGTGAGTGGTTAGCGAGGAAATCTCTCCATTCAGTTTCTCCCAGCCTGGCCACCAGGCAGCCAGGATCTCAGCACGCCCTCCATTCCTGCCTCAGTCCTAGAAAGCTAACAGTCTTTCGTTACCCCAGATGACTCATTTACGAGACTCGATAGAAATACATTTTGGCTCATCGCACTGTTAGGTCTAACTGGATTATGCAGTGAGGGCTGATGTCAAATGTTCCACTGAGCAAGGGAGCCGCCACCCGGTCCACCTTTGTCTTGAGAAGTCTGTCAGAGGTTATGGTTTGCAGCTGGGAGGGCTTCCTGCTGCAAGTTAAATTATGTGTTAGCCTGAGAGAATGTTTCCTTTCCTGCTGTCTGGTTTTTGTTTGTTTGTTTGTTTGTTTGTTTTCCCCTTCTTCCCTCCTTATTTTTGCAATTTTCTAATTCAGAGTTCACGTTTGTCTTCTCCTCTGCAGACTTCGGCTTGAGTAACTGTGCGGGGATCCTGGGTTACTCTGACCCGTTCAGCACACAGTGTGGCAGCCCTGCCTACGCTGCGCCGGAACTGCTGGCCAGGAAGAAATACGGCCCCAAAATTGATGTCTGGTCAATGTGAGTTATCCAGCTCGTAAAAGTCTGTGTTCCTCCTGAGGGCTCTCATTTTTTGTGAAGTAGCCTCGCACTCCCTGATGAAAATGTACCTAGTATGGCCCATGGAACATGCCAGCCATGGTTCTCGGGCCCTGCGTTGTCTGCCGTGGATATACCATCCATGGTTCTCGGGACCTAGCTTTTCTTTTCTCTTTCCAGACTGTTCTTTATAACCTTCCAAAATGGCATTTACAAACATTTCTTTGGGGAGCTGGGAAAGCAGAAAGCCAAGCCCAGCCTCCAAAGACCTCGCATTGGTGTTCCATGAGTCAACGTTTTCAGAAAGCCTGGCTTAGGGCACTGAAGTCACAGCTCCCTGGGAGATTGAGGGAGGAGGATCTCAAGTTCAAGGCCTTCCTGGGCTACAGAGTGAGTTTCAGGGCCCCTGGGCAACTGAGCGAGACTCTGCCTCAAAAGAAAAGGTAAAAATGGGTAGAAATGCAGCTAGTGTGAAATCCTGGCTTAGCATATGGTAGGCTCTAGGTTCAATTGCCTACACCACAAAACCAAAGAAACACACATGTACAGGTGTATATACATACCCACAGACCACACACACACACACACACACACACACACAGTGAAACAAACACATAAGCATGTGGATGTACTTCCACTTCTTTTTCTCACACACACGCACACACACACAGCAAAACAAAACAATGCACATGAGTGTACATGCACATACACACCACACACACACACTACAAACCCCACATAGGTCCATACACACAGCAGACAAAAACAAACCCATGTGCACATGCGCACACATGTACACACCCCTACGTATACATACAACATATACATAGACGAGACACACACAGCACGTACCATGTAAATGGACACTCGGCACATACACAACATATAGATACACAGCACACACACACCATATAGACATACAGTACACACACACATTCACACTAAAGCAAAATCAAACAAACCGACCTTACCATAGTTTCCTAAGCTTGAGCTTTTAGTCCACCTCTCCCGACTCTTGGTACCTGCCTAGTCCCCATCCCCCCAACCTGGCTTCTCTCCTGCATCCCACCATCTTCCCTTGCCGGAATGCCGATCCTGCTCTCCATCCTGGCTTTTCTTTAAGCCCCTTTGTGGACTGTCCATGTTCCCTGCTGAGGACCCTTGTGCCCTTTCACCTCCCTTATTTCCTTTTACACCTGCCACTGCCAATCACTCTCTTATTGGCAAATCCCTTTACCTCTCCTCCTCCACTGGAAAGGACAGTCTTGGGACAGCTGGGGAATCCATTAGCACTACAGGGAAGAAATGGAAGGACTGTAGAAGCCCAGACACGGAGAGAACTTTCAAGGGCGTTGTGTCTCTCTGATGGAGAGATGGCCAAGGGGAAGATGGAGTTGGTAGCAGTTTGCTCCTGAGGTCAAGCCCTTAAGGGAATAGACAATATTGTGGCCCCAGATGTCAACACAATGAGATGAAGCAAGAGTGTCCTGAGTGTAGAAAGTGTATAGAGGAGGCACCAGGCTCTGGCTCTCCTGTCGCCTCTCGCTAACCCGGACACAGAAGCGAGTCAGTTATCCTAATGGAGATGAAAGTGCAGGCTCAGAAAGGTTGGACTTGGTTCTTGTCTTTTTTGCTGCTTTGCTTGGCCAGGAAAAAGAACTCATACTTGGCAACTGCTAACACTTCATCTCTCCATTTTGGGACCAAGATGGAGGGTCCTGCTTCCCAGGGAAGGTTCTCTGCAGTCCCCCCTGCCCACGGCCACCAGCTCCCTGTCTGTCCAGAAGCAGGGACTCTGTCTGTCTGGAGTAATGGTGGCAGGTGATACTGGAGGTGCTGTAGGGCCATGATACCTGGATAGGTCAGGAGTGATTGTGGCTAGTGAGCAGTTTGCTTCTCTCATTCATCACAGTGTGGACAGGTCCCACCTGGGGTTTCCTGGGCTTTCTTAACATTTCTGTGCTAGTGTCCACTTGATGGAATTATTCTCACCAAGAAGAGAATGCACAACTGTAGATGCTCAGAAAATTTCTGTGGAGGACAGGTAGTCCTTCTTGGAGGCACACTGGAGGGAGACATGGGAGCTGAGACTCAGGCAGGGATAGAAGAGTCCCAGGAGCAAGATGGCAAACTGTAGAGCCCAAGACCCTACTGAGTACTTCCGTGTCTCCTTTGCCCATGCCTCACTAGGCAGAGCCAATTACATGGCCTAAGACTGAGCCGGGAGAGAGGCCTCCTTTCCTGCTGTTGGGACCATAGCCAGCTACAGTGACTCACTTGTCTACTTCTAAGAACTGGATGATGTCACCCAGTTCCCAGCTAATGTTTTGAAGCCCTATCTACCCACCCCCAACCCCAGAGTCAATGTATTAGGTGATGGGGTCTTTGGGGGTCACAAGACCAGGGTGACCCTCTCCCAACTAAGAAGGAGGCTGTCACCCAGCTGTTACTCAATCTTGATCTGAGAGTTTCAGCCTCCAGAATTGTGAGACAATGCCTGTTATTTGAGCTCTCTCTTCTGTGGCATTTTGTTGTGGTGGCTTGTGTTGACTATGGTAGCTTCTCACTGCCATAGTCAAATACCTGGGATGGTTAGCTCATGGATAATAAAAGCTTCTTTTGACTATTACCTCTTGAAGGTTCCAGTCTGTGATTGATTGTCCTCATTGACTGGGGTCTGCAATGAGGCATGGCATTGAGGACAGAGAGAGTAACATGGCAGAACTGCTAAAGAAACAGGCCAGGGGACAAAGAGAAAAAGAGCACAGAGCATGCACCAGATGCTTAAGGGTTTCCGCTAGACCCCACTCTTGATACCACTTCTGATAATAGTGCCATCCTGGGACTCAAGCCTTTAAAAGCACATGAACTGTTGGTGGAGATCTGCCCAAACCATGGCTTTGGTAGAGCAGGCTGACTGAGACACATACCCACCTATCTACCTACAAGTCCCTGTAAACGTGAGGGTCAGGTAGTGTGGAGGCAGACACCTAGCCGCATGAAGCTGAGAACGCAGTGGAGGGCCTTTAACCTGCTCCTGAGAGCTGCTGAAGCTGCCCAGGGAGGGAAGGGGCAGAGAAAAGTTCCAGGCAGAGCGTACCATGCAGGCAGCACTGGCATCTGATCGCTACGAGCTTTTAAGGTCTTGGTGAAAGCATGAAACCCCAGAGCCTTTTAGAAGGTTTTTCCACTACCTTGCAGTTCTGTGTCTGAGGTAGGGATCAGGTTTTTGTGTGGCACCCATGGCTTTGTTGGCAGGACTGGGAAATAGAAAACCCAAAGAGAATTTAATTCAAAGCTGCTTAAGATACGAGTGGACATGGAGCCCACTGTCTCCATGTTCCAGTACCATTATTACAAAATGCCTTCTGTCTTATGGCTATAAACCAGCATAGTGAAGAATGGGCTTCTAAAATCAAAAGCAGATTCCCCTCTGCAGAGGTTTTGAGCCTGCTAGATGGCAGGAACTAAACCCCAAGGTTTCTGAGACTGGTGAAGAGGAAACCCCGGGCTGTTACATAGGAAGGCTTGGAGAACTCGAGACAGCCTGGCATGCTGGAGCACGCTCTGGTAATGTGAGCGTTATCTATGGGAAGGGAGACAGGGTCTTGAGGTGGTCATCATTACAATGGTGTTATTTAAAGGACTATACAAATTATCCTTCAAGTCCTGTTCACCTTTTTCCTTCACGCTACTCAGAGGTCTTGTCTGCACATACACATAGGCATTCATTCTCCCCCTCTCTCTCTTTGTCCCCCTCTTCCCTGCGATCTCTTCCAGTGAACTTTTAGACACAAAGCTGGAATGTTCACTCTGATACATCAAACATTTATTATTGCTTCTCAACTTCTGCTCAGAGTGGCCTATGTCCTAATTCGAAAATAACTTCAATGCAGATGAACTTCTTTTTTCTTTCAGCCTGGAACTAGAACTCACTCTGTAAACCACGCTGGTCCCAAACTCAGAAATCTGCCTGCCTCTGCCTCTGCCTCTGGAGTGCTGGGATCAAAGGTGTGGGCCACCATCACCCGGCATCAGATGTGCTTTTTTAATTGACTAGAAGTTAAGTTCAAGAATATTATGATGCTTGTTTGAGATCCTCAGTGAGCCTCTAAGGATAAGAAAAACAGACATCTGGGATCTTGTCTGTAAGAGAAGGAGGAAGTGATATCTCACAGTTTGCCCTATGGCTGTGAAGATTAGCACTTGGGTTCTCCTGAGCTTCCAGAACCTTCTTTTACGGAGCTCATGAGGGGGACCCTGTCTTTCCCCAGGGCCTTTGGGTAGAGAAGTTGGGCACGAGGTACCATGTTGTTTCCTTTCCTCCATCTCTCTACAGAACAGTGTGTTCAGGAAGAGAATGACAAAATTTGGGCTGGGTCCCAGGCTCTGCATCTTACAGAAATGATATCAGATGTCATCCCCTGTAGGCTGCGGTCACACATGGACGTGTTTTCTCTGTATTAATGATAGGAGGTGGTGAGGGAGGGAGCAGGGAGGAGACCTGCATCCATTTGGTGACGCTGAAGTCTTTAGACTTTCAAAAGAGAAGTTCCCGGCTATCTGGGTGCTGTGGTACATGCACCATTAATCAGGAGTCTGGGGCAGGAGAGAGATGCATTGGAGGCTATCCTGGGCTACATAGTCAAACCCTGTCTCAAAGATAAAGCTTCCTTCAGCTTTGGGGATTTTTAAGTGAATAAAATACAAGGTACTTCTCCCTTTTAGCTAGCACATTTATTAAGCAAAGAGGGGAAACAAAAGGAGCAAGCACCTTGAAATCCACCAGAAAGTGTTTTTCTTACCACACACAGAGCGCTTCGCTTCGTGGGAGAGGGTTGGGCTGGAGATGTTTTTAGGTGGATGAACTATTCCTAATCCCTTTCCGGACCTTACATTGGAAGTTGGTACTGCAAATTGATGCATGAGGAAAGAAGGAGATAACTTTCTGGTGGGGAGGGGTGGTTAATTTTGAGTTTTTCAAGGTAATTCCTTTATTGTGGACTGTGTGGAACCAAGGTGTGCTTGTCCTCCCTATGAGCCAGGTGGCTGCGCAGGCCCCTGGCGCCACGACTGGTGACCTCAGTCTCCGCCCACCCTGCAGTGTTGACACTTGCCTTGTTCTTTGCATCAAGCAAGGTAAAGTTTCTGGCAACTTCCCCAGGGAGCACTGACTCTGTCTTTCTTCTCAGAGATGGCCGCTTTCCCTCCAGGGAAGATTTTAATGTGTCATGACTATCAGGACCAGCATTTGCCTTCTGACCCAGTACCTACGATTCCACACAATTCTCCCTGGGGGTCCCTTCCCTTCTTCCAGTTGCCTGTGACCACACTTGTTCCTTCTCTCACAACATCAGAATATTGTGCAATGTCCGCTATCCCACAGGTTTTTCTTCCCTGTACTTCCTCTTGGTTTCAAAAACGTTAACACTATTGCATTGCTGCCTTCCCTAGTCCCTGTCTCTGTAAGTGCTGGCTTTCTTCAAAGCTATCTTGGAGTCATAGAGGTTCATGTCTGCCGCAGAGAACCCAGGAAACCCCTGGGCCATATTTCAAAAGGCTTTTCAGGAAATTCTGACCGTGTTTTGAAACTCTGCCTGAATCTATGGGATTACAGAGGTTTCTAAACCGCATTCCGCAAGCCTCCCTTGGTATTCCTGCATACTTGTCAAATGTCAGAGGGTTACATTTCTCTTTACCCACATATTAAACATGGATGAAAACTCCAGGAGAGAGGAATTAAGATGTCCAATCTGGTTTCTCTTTTAAAATCTCCTTGGGCTATCTGATTGTTAATGTGGGTTTTCATAATCATTTGCAGTAAGGCCGAAATGTAATTATAGTTTTTGTTGTTTGTTATTTTGTTTTATTAAAAAAAACTTTATTTATACTAAACCACAGAGATGATTATTTGGTGCTCAATTTACAGCAGACACGGCACTCGGCTCTTCCTGTAGTTTCAGTTATTTGGCCCTCGTATTGTCTACATTCAAGTGTAAATGACCTTGGGATAAAATGAGAGAAATTGTAAGGGTTTTTGTTTGTTTGTTTGTTTTGTTGTTGTTGTTGTTTGAGACAGGGTTTCTCTATGTAGCCATGGCTGTCCTGGGACTCACTCTATAGACCAGGCTGGCCTCGGACTCACAGAGATCTGCCTGCCTCTGCCTCCCTAAGTGCTGGGATCACAGGTGTGTGGCCCCAGGTTTGCAAGTTTTTAATTGATCATTTTATAAGAACTGGAAGCCTTTTGGTAAAGCAGTCAAGATATTGCTTGCTGGCTGGGGTTCTTGAACGCAGTATCTTTCAGCCGTATCTGTGGTCTAAAGTAAGGGAGAGAGGCAAAGGCCAGTGCATTAAGCAGTGACATAAGGGGGTTTGTTTGTTTGTTTTCAGTCTTTGAAGCCAACTGGCGATACGGAGCCGAGTGACCTGGTGTGCTCAGGTTTCCTGGAAGAAAGTTTTGCAAAGGTTTTAGAGCTGTTCTTGGTTCATACATTGAACAATCTCCTTCAGCTGGTTCCTTCTCCACCACACAGATCCTACTTCTGGAGGCTTTGTGTAGCATTCTGAGCATTCAACCTGTTACAGAGAAGCCACATGTCCCCGCAATGTAAGACAATCATGAAAGGTGACAGGACGGTGTCCTCAGGCTTGAGTACTGTGGGCTGCCCTCTGAGAGAAAGAACAGTGGTGAGGGCCTCCCGTGTTGGCTAAGGTGGGGTTGTTGTTGTTCAAGTGTTATGAGCACATGAATCTAGAGATAGGTTCGGCAAGTTTATGAGTCTGTATAAGTAAAATACAAAACTAAATTACCAGGAGTAAGGAGTCCCCGCATATTCCAGTGAAGACATTAATATGATGGTCTGTAGAGGAACTGGATGGCCATTCATAGTTGATATAGCCCTCCGGGCCAGGCACAAGTGCTTGGAGTCTGGCAAGCCTACTCTGGTGACATGATTCTCCAACCTCTTGTGTTTTATCCTCCTGGTGGCTTTTAAGCTAGACTGCGTGCATTCAGAGATTTTTTTTTTATCCATTATTATTGCTCATGTACACATTTGTGCGTGTGATGTGGGGTGTGTGTGTGTGTGTGTGTGTGTGTGTGTGAAAGAGAGAAAGAGTTAGAGAGACAGGAGAAAAAGCTAGTTCTCGTCTCAGGGGACACAAGGCGGTCAGAGGACAGTGTACACACTGGGCACAGTCAGTTTCCTCCATTAGCTTTTCCATGCATTTCAGCACTCAAACGCTTGCCTGCCAAGCACTGTTACCCATTGAAGCATCTCACTGGCCCCAGAAGGATAGCCAAGCCGCATATGACAAGTCCTGGCCCCCGAGAATCCTACTCCCTGAATCTGGAGCCAGCCCAGGAATGTGCACTTTCATGTGTTCCAGTGGTGCTGATGCAGGGGAGTGGAGACAGTGCTCTGGAAGCCGTGTGCTGCTAGGATTATCAGGACTCTCATATAGACACATCACTTACAGGTTAAGCCCATTCTGTCTCTTCCTCTGAGATGGCGCTAATAATAATATGTTCTTACTATGGAAGAGTACCCAGTCTTGTTCAAGAAGCAATGCACGGAAGACACAGACTCTGGCATAGTATTTGCCCTCCCCCTTTCAGCTCTGTGTGGGACAGGGTGCCTCCAGGAGCAGGTTATCTTGGGGATGACTCGCTAGTGGTCTTCAGTAACAGTGGAAGAGTCCAAAGGTTTCCACCCACTAAAGCCTATGTAAGACCTCTTGGTGAATGCAGACCTTACAGTTTTACTGCTTAGTTTTCTTTTCTGTGAGTGCTGAGGACTCCCCCAAAGCCGAGGTGTTTGGCTCTGCCTAAAACACATCAAAGATGGCACTGCACAGTGGGTTCTTAAGGGGGGGTTCCCACCCCACCTCTTCTTTCCTCCCCTTCCAAACTGCCTCTGTCAGCTTGCTCCATTCCATCTGTTACCACAGCTAGCCCAACTGAGTTTTAACCTGGCGCACTCCTTCATGTGTGTGCGTTGCCTCCTTGCTTGCTTTTTACAGTATGTTACTTTATTCTGACTTACAGCCACATTGTGTGCTCGCTGCCACGGTCTCCAGCTCCCCACTCCAAGCTCCTGTAATTCACTTACATGTAGCCCCATGTTAAGTAACTGCGGGACTTTTGTTCGTATCTGTCCATGCCCCGAGGAGTGTGTTGCACTGAGCTCACACTAGGAATTACTGCTTGTCTGTTCTTGTCTCTTTTTCCTTGGTTTCTGTAATCAGTCACCTGGCCTCGTCCAGCCAACTGTAGAGGTTGAAGCTCACGCGTAAAACACCCAACCTGAGAAGACTTCCAGTCTTAGACATCCTTTGTCTCCTTAATTGAAGCCATGGCAAAAGCAGTGCTGCCCAACATTTTCTTGCTCTCTCATGCCACTCAAAGCAGTTGTGCTCATTTATCTGTGTGTTTGCCCATTGCCTATTTCCCTCCAACTCAAAATCCAAAATGGCACCATCCTTGTCTGGCTGATAGTACTCAGTCAGTGAGAGGCATCCAGCAAGAATCTGTGGAATGAATGTTTGTGTGTGTGCCTTCCCACCTCCATTCTGAGTTCAGAGAGGGAACCAGGCCCCAGCTTCTGTCTGAAATCCGAGAGTGCTTTGTGCTGGCGCTGTGGGCTCCCATACCTGTCATTATACAGAATGCAGAGGCGCCTCTGTGGAATTAGGCCTCAAGGGTCTTAATTTCAATCAGTCCCATTGGCTCTGTTTTGACTGGAAATCCTGTTGCCTGTTTTTAAAAACACATCTGCCTGAGGTACCTTTGAACAGTAGAGACCTCTTGGCAGGCAGGCAAGCATTTCTTCCCCAGGAGGAAATCTCATCAACATGATAGTAGGTTTATACATCAAGAAAGTAAAACCCTCCTAGAAGACTTTGCTGTCCTCTGGCTTGGCTTTGGATGGAAGAACTAAAGCCCACGTACCAATAGCTCAACCATCGTCGAGATATTCGGCCAGGGTCTGGTGGCCGAGTCTCAAGACAAGTTTTGGTCTCAAAGGGCTGAGTGGTGAGCAGAAGCCCTCATCAGCCCAGAAGGGGTGGATCTTGCCCTGTATTGTTCCATCAGGCTCCTCAGCCCAACCGTGTACCTCACATCTGGAAAGACTGCAGGCTGGCAGGGTCACTCTCGAAGCCCCTCTCAGTGTGGTCCACTCACTTTCGGCTGGAATCCTTTGGAGTCAATGACATCTTCCCAGTACAACTTCAGTTCTCTCCCAGCCAAATGCTTAGGAGCAAAAGTGGTTTTGGTTTTGGAATCTTTGCATATGTATAGTGAACCGTCCCAAATAGGACTCTCAGCTAATGTTTCACCTACGCATTATGTACACAGCTCAAAGGTGATTTTATATGGTGCTCTTTGTTTTGACTCCAACCTGCTTGCTACATGAAGCCAGAGGTACAATTTTTTGTGGTCAAGAGTTTTTAGAATTTGGGGGAATTTTAGGTTTTTCAAAGTTTCTCCTCCTCCTTCACTTCCTCCTCTTCCTTTACCTTCTTTTCCTCTTCCTTTACCTCCTCCTCCTTCTTCACCACCACCTCCTCCTTCACTTCCTCCTCCACCACCTCCTTCTTCACTTCATCCACCATCTCCTCCTCCTCTTTCACCTTCTTTTCTTCCACCTCCCTGTCCTCCTCCTCCTTGAGGCAGCTCTTTCTACTCTTGCTCATCTCTGTCTCCCTTGTTAGGTCTTCACAGTGTTCTCGCCCCCGCCTGTCATGTGTCAACACTGCAACCATGACATGATGCGAGGGTTCTGGAAAGATGCCTCTGCCAGAGGCAAAAGCAGGGATGCCGGCCCTGTCTGTGTGCTCTTTGTCTTCAGCACCCTGGGGTCTCTTTGTTCTCACACTTCCCATGTCTCTCTTTTCAGAGGCGTGAACATGTATGCCATGTTGACCGGGACCCTGCCTTTCACAGTGGAGCCTTTCAGCCTGAGGGCTCTGTACCAGAAGATGGTAGACAAAGAAATGAACCCCCTCCCGACCCAGCTCTCCACAGGTAATGAGCTAGCTGCTCCGAGCTGAAGGTTCTGGTGTCTGTGTGCTGATAAGGTTTGGACTCATTTTAGGAGTGGTATTTGTCTGATGGTGAGGTCCTTCCCCATGTTGAAACAACAGAGGTCGAAGGCCTTGCCATCTCCAAGATGGTGTCCCACTCTTGCGCCTGTGTTCTTTCTCCCTTGTAATTTAGAAGCTCTGATCCCCTCCTTCTGTCTTTGGTGTAAAACATTTATATTAAGAAGGACTTGTGTTCTTTGCTTAGGAAGTAGCTGCAGGCTCAAATGTTTGAAAGCTGGCGTTTTGTAGTGTTGCCTTGAAAAACAGCTTTTTCTTTAATAGGGTTACTGTAAAGATATATTGATTTCATTCACGTATGGGGTCTGTGATTTGTTTTGTTATGTGAATTTTTGAGGCAGTTCAAAAGATTTCAGGTACATGTAGGTTTGATTACTTCATTAGAATAAATCATAGATGTTTTTCAGAAGTTTTCTCAAACTTTAGCAGCTTCAAATTGCAGTAAAAGGCTTAAATAAAGATTTGGTTTCAGACTCAGTAAATTTATAATAGTATCTGAGCTTTTGTCTGGTTCACAATTCACATCAAGTTTCTGGCCTATGCTTGGCTCTGAGGGTCATTTACTTGTTCTGTTAAAATAAATCTAGGTTCACTGAAATGAGGCTTTGGACCAAGAAAGAATGATTATTTAATTTTCTCTTTCCTGATCCTTGGATAAAATAGAGTATTTTATTTTGCCATTGTTAAGTATTTTTCCCTTGGGTTTATAAACGTCTGGGAAACTGACCTGAGATTTACTCTTGTCAATGGATCCAACTTGAAATGAGTTCTTGGGCATAATTATCTAATCCAGCTACGCTTTCACCTTGCAAGTGATATATAATCTCTGGAGGTTGAGAGCCCGGGAGGCATTGTGTCCTCGGGAAGAGAACCTTCAGTACTGACTTCTAGAAGAAATATTTCTGCAATGGGAGTCCTACCTCATGGAGTTAGAAAACGCCCAGCATATGGAAGGAATCACCACATTGAGGCGTTGGGCCTCTCAGTGTTGGGAAGTGCTACAAAGCTTTATGGGAAGTGTTCAGTCATCTATCCGTTTCTTCATCATTTCCTATACATTCTTTTAGTCCATGAAAACTAATCACGTACAAAGTGAGTCCTAGATGCCAGGAAGAGAGAATGAGCCGCATCTGCTCCTCCATAGAGTGTATGCATCTAAGGGAGAGGCATATGCTAATGGAGAAGCCGTACCTCTTTCACCCAGTTTCCCACAATGGTAACATCTTGAACTACTGGTGTAATTTCCATTAGGAAATTGACATTGATAAAAACCCACATGTCTGCTGCCTTGTATTTAGCTCCATGTAAATTTATCACGTGCAAATTGCCGCTAGGCATTACAAGGCATTACATGGATCAAGGTATTACAAGGATCCTTCTTTTTCCCTGTATAGTCATTGCCACGTTCCTCCCTTCCCCTCTACAAACCCCCTTTCTCCATCCTTTCTCCATCTCTCTGGCATTTTTTTAAATGAAGGAATTAGAGAGATGGAAAAATGTACAAAAATTTGCATAAATATGTACACATCCCTTGTCTCGTGTTAAAATAAATGTTAAATGTTAAGATTGATTTTAGTTGTTGGATGCATCAGAACCTTGTTTTTTTTCACTGCTGAGTTGTATTCCCAGGCATGGACATACCACAGTTTGTTTAACCATTCCCCCTTGAAGGACCACTAGGTTGGTTCCAGTTTGTGACTCCTAGGAATAGAGCTGCTGTGAACATTTTCCTCCAGATGTCTGTGTGAATGTGGTGTCTGTAAGACAAATGGCTGAGAACGAAATTACTGGGTCAGTTAGTAAGTGCATCCAGTGCTGTAAGAAGGTACCACGCTGTTTAGAGTGGCTGTACCATTTTGTCTTCACCCTCATATTCCATTTGCAGTATCATTATACAGTCCTAAACAGTGTATCTCTCAGGGTGATTCTGAAGTGCTTCTGATGGTTTAGAGCCTGTCTTATCCAAAATTACCCATAACACAGGACGCTAGGGTAGGATGCCTGGAAAGAGCAAGCAGGGGTCGCTGAACCTTGGTGAGACCTTGAAAATTTAGACATTCGCCAATTATCTGCTTAGGTCACAATAATAGCAGTCAGCCCCAACTCCCAGTGGCTGAGGACCACAAGGACTTCCTTCTTGTGCTTTATATTAATTGAAAGTTGAATCAAGGACAGAAGACTTCTGAGCCCAAGTAGGATTTCAAACCCATTGCCGGTCCATGCAGGCAAAGGTAACGGGGAAGTCCCCGCCCAGCGGTGGCTTTTACCTTCTGGTATCTAAGCATAGAATCTGCCCTCAGTCGGGTGAGGGAGATGGGTGGGTTCTGACGGTGGAAAGGCAGAGTGTGAACAGCACTAGTGTGAAGCCACACAGAGACTGTAGGAGAAGTGCACTGCCACAAGCCTGGTCCCCGTGTTCCCTTAGGATATCATCTGTTATGTCCTGAAATGCTAGTTTATCAGTAGCGAGTAGCTGCCCCTTCACAGAACAGAAAGCAGGTGTTTTTCTGTTACCAGCTTTTCACTCAGTCAGGCACAGTAAATGAGATTGTTCCCAATTCACCAATGGAGTCTCAGAGTAAGTAAGTTGGCTTGATTGAAAACCCAGATTTTCCTCTGTACTCTGTTCTTTTCCTTATTTATTTGTTTTGTTTTTCTGAGACAAAGTTTCTCTGTATAGCCTTGGCTGTCCTGTACTCCCTTTTGTAGTCCAGGCTGGCCTCACACCCAGAGAGATCCACCTGCCTCTGCCTCTCCTAGTGCTGGAATTACAAGCATGCACCACAATGCCTGGCTTCTTTCCCTTATTTTTTAAAAGACATACATGAACACACTCACACTCATATGTGTGTAGTGTGTAGTGCCACAGAGGCCAGAAGAGGGGGTCTGATCCCCTAGAGCAGAAGTTTGGTACTTGTGTGCCGCCCAACATGGGTACTAGGAACTGAACTTGGGTCTAGTGCAAGAACAGCGCTCACTCTTAACTGCTGAGACATTCCTCCAGCCCTCTTTCCATATTTAACTCACAATCCATCCCCTCTACAGCCCCTGAGCTTGCAAGTTCTGTTGTCTTCAGATCTTGTATTTTGAGTGATGTCATTGCTAACAGAAAATATACCAATGTTACCATCTATAAAGAACATATATCTTCATTAATTTGATATACTGTCAACCCTATTTGCAGTGATTGCACCGATTATATCTTATTATATTTAGATTAAATTAAAAGTTTTATTTTTATTGCAGCAAATTTCAGGTTGGAAAATAAATCACAGCACTCCTATCCCTGTGAACCCGTGAAATGTGCAGAGACTTGTCTCCTTGCTGCCCTCACATAGTTGGAAACCTTCAGCTTTGGGGTCCTTTCCAACTCTTCTCTAGTTGGTTTCCGCTTTCTGCAAGTTGGCTTTTGCATATCACAGAGTTAGCGAATGCTTTTCGCGGCTGAGAGAATTTTCCGACAGTTTACTCTCTCATCCGGCGCCATAGCCACAGCGTTTATAATACATTCCAAACAGACACTTCCAATTAAGAGGATTTTGTCCCACAGATGCACCAGAGAGAAGCTGCAGAAATGCTGGCATCGCTGAAGGTTGGGCCTGGTGAAGATTTCCAAGAAGGCTTAGCCATCCACTGTCGATGGGTTCTTAGCTGAGAGGTGATGAGAAGGGGCTGGCTGCCAGGGCAGGCCTCTGCCTGCATCTGGGGCTGGCTGCCTAATGTCAGCTGGCTTTGTCTGTTGTCTGCAGCCCTTGCCTTTGGCAGTGTCCAGTGCTCACCTAGGCCAGTTCAGACTTGAGAAGTCCAACTTCTCCTGAACAAAAGGGTGTTGGCACCACAGCAGTGCCTGTTCTGTGCTGGTGAAAGAGCTCCCGTTCGGCTAACTTCATTGCTCTCAGCTAGAACAGAGAGGCCAAGTCAGCTCTCAGGAGTGGAGGGTGGCCGAAGACCATGCTAGATTTCACTTTCTGGGATAATGGGGAATGTGTAGTTCCTCCTGGCCCCAGAAACATGGATATTTTTAAGATCCAAGGACAAACTTCAAAGAACTCTGAGGATGTTCACAAAGTCCTTTCAGGATAGTGATGTCATGTTTGTGAGGTACATCTCGTCAGCAGAGACTTGAACTAAAATTACTTGTCCTCATCAGCAATCTGGGAAGATCTAGAGCACTTGATGGTGAAAATAGAACAGAAATACATGTCCGGGTATCCTTAGCTTTTCTGATTAATCATATTTTGAAGAAGCCTGGCTTGGAGTGTGAAAGGATGCCAGTCTTTTAGGGATGGGCATCAGAGGTCTCAGAAAGCACCCTAACTCAGCACCCCTAGTTCATTTCATCAAGCTGCCCCTTCTCCTTGAACATTAGATGCTCCTGTTTAAAATCCAAATGGTGGGTTGAGGAGATGGCTCAGTAAGAGGGCTTGCTGTTTAAGCAGGAGGACCACAGAGTTCAAATCCCCCAGCGTGCACATTAAAAAGTCTGACATAGTTGTGGTATGCCTATAACCCCACTTGTTGTGGAGGGCAGAGACAGGATTTCCAAGTTCAGTAAAGAGCCCCTGTAGCAGAGGATGGTACAGTGGGACACTTGACATTACCCTCTGGCTTCTGTGTCTGTACTCATGTGGGTGCACATGCCAAACAACAAAACAAAACAAAACAAAAGAAAACAGTCCTCAAGTGACTCTTGCAGTATAGCAGTGCAGAGGGAAGTTCGCTCAAAACCAGGAACTTCTTTTTTTGGGAGATTTAGGAAAGTTTTATCTGGAGACTTGGCTATGAACCCGACAAGGTTGAGGCTGGAGAGGTGGCTCAGCAGTTATGAGCATTTGCTGTTCTTCAAAGGGCCCAAGTTCAGTTCCCGGCATCCATGTGGTGGCGCACAGCCACCTGTAACCGCGGATGCGGAGGATGCGGAGGATGCGGAGGATGCCTCCTTCCAGCCTCTGTGGGCACTGCTCGCCCATCGTGCAATTACAAGTTGCCGGCGGAACCACCCATAAGATAAAAATAAGGATCTTTTTCAAAAGCCTGGCAGCGTCCAATGCACCTCGTGGCTACTATGGTGTCTATACATTCGTTTTGGCTCATCTTGAAGACAGATGGCTGCACACTGGGCTCCTCCCTGCATGAGTTACTTATGGATATGGCCTGGCAAATGGCTATTTCTCTGGAGCTGATTCTGGTCTCACAGTTGGCTCCTCTTTTGATGGCTTCGTTTCTGCCATAGAAAAAGTACTCAGAAGTGTCATCATTCTTTTAAGTGCAATACATAATGACAGCTGAAGCTAAATGAAAAAGTGTGAATTTTATGACCGCTTCTGGACAAGTGGGGTTCTATTAAAAAAGAAAAAAAAAACTGGGAAAGTGTTCTTGAGAATAAGATAGAACAATTTGGCATAAAAAAAAATTTAAAAAAAAAAGGAGCTTATTGCCTGGGACTTACTATTTCATAGGTAGAAACTGAATGTATAGAAAACTACATGGAAGAATTATTTGGTGGTGGTGGGGGCCTGAAGGGGATGGCTTAGTCAATAGAACACTTGACTCGCAAACACAGGGCCCTGAGTTTGACTTCCCAAATCCCACATAAGAAGGCTGGGCGTGGTGAGCGCCAGGACTCGTGTTTGTAATCCCAGCACTAGAGTGGGAGAGACAGGAAGGTTCCTGGGGCTCACTGCCAGCCAGTCTAGCCTGGTTGTTGAGCTCCAGGCCAAAGAGGAGCCTTGTCTGGAAAGAAATGGACGACATTTTTAACCAGTGTTTTGAGACTCTCAGTGTGTTTTCTTTAGTTACCTCCTCCCTGGCTCCCCTCAGATCCACGCCCCTCCAGAGGACACTGTAGATAATCCTCTAGCTTCCACATGTGTGCACACGCATGTGCTCACACCTGCAGCCACAGGTGCACTTGTGCAGACGTGTTTTCTGAACATGAAAGGGAGGAGGACATGTCTTATGTGTCCCACCTTGGGGGCTGACCTTGAACTTTCTATGTAGCCAAGAATGACCTTGAACTCCTGACCCTTCTGTCTCTACCTCCCAGGTGCTGGGGTCATAGGCATGTACCTTCATGCCTGGCTTATGTGGTATGAAGGATCTAACCTAGGACATCATTCAAGCTAGGCAAGCCCTCTGCCAAATGAGCTATATCCCCAGGAAATGTAGTCTCAGAACTCAGGAAAACCAGGACTCTGTGTGTGTGTTTGTGTGTGTGTTCTCACTCTGTGTATGTACACTCTCCTCTGTCCATGTGTAGATTCTCGAGTCTACACCGAGCAGTTCTGTACCTGAAACTTTCCAAAATACAGTTTTTCGTGTTGTGCAATTGTCTCTTCTGCTCTGATCCTAAAGGACACAGACACCAGCTTCCTGGCTCCAGGGTCTGGGTAGACCCCAGGTGTTCTGTACATGTTTGTTTAACGAAAGGAGACCCAGGATATTAAAACAAATTACTGGTGTCAGGGACAGAGGAAAGAGGGGCTGGGAGGTTCTTATAGTTCTGTCAGTGGTTTCTCACATCCTCCCTCACACTCCTGGTTCAATGTGGTTGATGTCACTATACCAGGTCTTTGGACTAAAAATATGCAAATACTGTTGGCATCCAGGCATCCCCTCCCTTTTAAGGGACAGCATCCGATGGGCATGCCATTGTGGTGTGGTGCTTACTAGAACTTTGTGACAAACTCGGAGTTATAGTTTAGCTGACACATAAACAGAAGCAGGCAGATTTCTGGTGTCACGTCAGCCTGCCACACTTGGCTAGTCAGCATAGGTTTAGGCTAGTCGGGTACTACATTATAATCTCAGAGAGCTTGGGGAAAGTGTGGGAAGGAGTAGGAAACTGCTTTAAAAAAGAAAGAAAGAAAGAAAAGACCCCTGGTGATACCCATGTGTAATCCTCAGGCTACCAAGGAGTCTGAGGTAAGGCAGAAAAGCCTGCCTGAGCTACAGAGGGAGTTCAAGGCTAGTCTGGTCTACTTTATCTCAAAATGAAAAGTAAAATGGGGCTGAAAACATAGCTCAGTGATAAGAGTGTTTCCCTAGCGTGTATAATGCCACAGGCTTAATCCCTGGTGCATTAAACAAATCAACCAGTTAACCAAACAACAACAACAAAAAGGAAACCAAAAACCAAAAAATAAGCAAGCAAACAAACAAAAACCAGAAAGCATCTCATTGACTCATGGGAAGGATCAAACTCAAGGGTCTAATTCAAACTCCTTCATCTCTCTTCCTTTTGGACTGCTCAGTCACCATGATTTTGGGCGTCTTTTTAACTTCCGCTCCTTCACCCTCCACACATGTAAACAGTCCCTCCCTGTGGCTGATCTCTGAGTGACTACCAGAGCCCACAGATTGTTCTGGAAAGACATGGCCCAGGGAGAACAAATCGATTCTTGTAGTGTCAGGGACCAGGTGTGCTTCTTGGGCCACTCTCTTGAGCCCTCTGGCTGTACCCCACCTCTCTAAAGATAAGTGTGGCAGGAGTGTCACTTAGAACTCCAGGCGTCTGAAGGTGGGGCTGACTCACGTTTTGTGAATTCTGGACCCGAAGCCCTTCCAGAGACCTTAAACCAGCAGCTCACAGGCTGCTTTCTGGTAAAGAAATGGGTTCCATTGATGGCAATTGCATTAAGCCCTTCCGAGAGCAGGGGCTCAGAGGGGTTAAGGAGGTGGAAGACCAGTGCCCCAGCTGCAGTGTCCGCACCTGTGTTCGGTCTGTAACTCGTCCTCTTTGCTGGCTGTCTCATCTCACAGGGGCCATCAACTTCCTGCGCTCTCTCCTGGAGCCGGATCCTGTGAAGAGGCCGAATATTCAGCAAGCACTGGCGAATCGCTGGCTGAATGAGAATTACACCGGGAAAGTGCCCTGTAATGTCACCTACCCCAACAGGTAAACCAGTGCTTACAGAGGGACGCCTTCTCCAGTGAGATGTGGCCTGCCCCGTGAGCGCTCCTAGGGCAGGAGGCTGTGATGCTTCTTTTCCTCCCTCTTGCCTGCTTGTGCCCACCTCTGCAACCCTTTGCCCACAGATGGGCCCATGGAGAATCCATGGAACCGAGTCTTTCAAATCACAACCTGTCTTCTGCTTGCCTCTTGTGTCTTTAAGCCCCGAGTGTCTTTCAGCTTTGAGATAACAGGAATGGGAGCAAACAAAGTCAGGCCGTTCACTTCAGCTGCCGTCTTGTGGACTTGCTTTGGAGGACTTGCCTCCCAGTTTCCTCGAGAAAAGGCCATGAGGGAGGTTACAGCCTAGTGCACCAAGAGGGACTCCGCTGGCCTGGTTCTGCGGGAGTGCAGACCACAGATTGGGAAAGCAGCACAAGAAACACTTCCCTGTTCTTTTTGACTCATTTGTTATACTCTTAACCACCTGAGTGAGGGATAAGGACCCTCCTTTTTGCTACTTTGCACAGAGACCGCCTGGCTCTAACCGGCGGGGACAGCCGTCTCCTCCTTCCAACCCTTAGAGAGCCCTACACATTCTAGCCAGCTTGGATGAGGAGCAGAACCACAGACAAAGGAACAGGAAGGGTGTCCTCCGTGGCTGTGGCCGTACTTTTGAAAATCCCCCAGTCTTGGGCCAAGAAGGTCTAGAGATACCCACCAAGCCTTATGAGAGCTGAAGTGCCGAGGACCGAAACAAGATGGGCAGAGGGCTGTCACTTGGGATGGACTTGCTTAAAGTACACAGGTGGACAATGTAGGATCCGCATCTGGGCTACTTGACCAGATTAACTCTTGTCCTGGGCATAGAGGAGGCGAATGTCTCTAGTCACCGTGTAGAATTCTAGTGTTTGGCTCTTGGGTGGTAATTTAGACAAAGTCGGGGTTACCTGGGTTGTCAAGGGAACCTGGAAATAGACACCATTTTCCAATACCTGCTCAATTTGGGCCAGGAACTGAAACAGACACCAGAAAAATTATCCCCCTGTGAGCCTGCTAACAGAGCTGCGGGGCCACATTCTATCACTGTGGAGCAACTCGCAGGCTGCCTTCTGGTAAAGAAATGGGTCCCCTTGGTGGCAATTGCATTAAGCTAATGCAATCACTGGCTACGTGAGCACAACCCATCCACCCAACACAGTAGCTGTCAAGGGCTGTGGATCTGGGCCTAGAAACACACAGAGCCCTCCATTTAACTACCTCATTGGAGACAAAGACTTACAATGTGGCTTCTAGTTTTGCAGCCTCTCCATAGGGGACAGGAGGTAGATTTTGGTGAGGTTAGCATAAATTCTGGTTTAGCCATCTTGGTTAGTGTATGTATGTGTGAGTTTGAGGGTGTGAGTGTGTGTGTACTTGAGTGTGTATATGTGTTTGTCTGAGTTGTGTGTATATGTGCATTCTAGGATGTGTGTCTGAATGTGAGTTTGTGTGTGTGAGTAGTGTGTGTGGTTATGTAAAGGGTAAAAGCGGTAAAGGTCTTGTTAACTAAAGTAGCAGCTTGGTGTCTTCTGTTTTCTAAAGTTGTGATGTATTCTATACAGATAACGAATCTGTTTTGATAAGGTAGGAGAGCAAGATTCTAAAAATATTGGAGGAGGTATGTGTTATTTATAGTTTTATTTTGAGAAAGTGTTAATTTTCAAGGCAAAAAATACATATTTCTGGCAATTGTTTTTCTGGCTCCAATAGCCCTTAAATAAAAGAAGAAATATATAGCCAAAGATACCTTATATGCAATATATTTTAATATATGTACATATATGATATCTATCTATCTATCTATCTATCTATCTATCTATCTATCTATCTATCTGCTGAAACATATCGTCAGGTTTCTTTCCCTTTGGGAAAGTACAAAAAGCACCCCCCCCGAGTTTCACATTGCTCTTCTACACAGCTTTTTCCTATGAAGTCATTCTGTTTTAAAGGTACACACAGAAGTGTTTAGAAGTGACATAGCATAGTGTCTCCAATTTAAAATATTTTAGCAACCACAACAGCCAAAAATGAAGCAAGTATAGTAAAGCAAGCATGATGATGATGATGAGTGCACACAGGCTCATCACAGGCGTCCCTTCTGTATCTTTGGGGTCATTCTTATGATCTCTCCCCATAAAAAAAGAGATTAAAAGTCTACAGGCTCCAGGCATAGAAGCGTATGCCTTTACTCCCAGCTCTTGGGAGATAACACAAATGCATCTCTGTGATATTGAGGCCAGCCTGGTCTAGTAGTGAGTTCAGGGCTACACAGCAAGCTTCTTTCAATGCTCATCCCCCAAATGCACAGACACTCAAGTGTCCTATATAAGATGGCATGGTTTGACCATAAACCCTACATATTCTTCCATATACTTTAAATCACCTCTGGTTGATATATAATAGCTGTTACACTTTATTGTGCAGAGAATAATGACAATAAAAAAGCCTTTCAAGTCTTTAAATTTAGTGTGAAAATAGTTTCTGTTTTTTTCCTGGAATGTTCTGAGATTAATTGAATCCTGTAGATGGTGAACCCACAGCTATGGAAAGTACATTATATAGTAAACCCACTACCTTTCCATATGTGTGGAATTTTTCAAAATAAAACGTCAGGCGGGAGTGGAGATGTAGCTCAGTTGAGACAGTGCCTGCCCTGCAGGAGCAAAGCCAGGTGATGTGCCCCTCCAATCCCAGCACGCAGGCGGCACACTGGAAGGTCTGCTATCCAAGGTCATTCTCTCTGCTGCTAAGAGAGCATGAGCTACCCTGGGCTGCATGAGATCCTGTCTCCAAAAAAAAAAAAAAAGTAAATAAAATAAAATCAAGTGAATGAGTGAGTGGCTGAGGGAACTCAGCTGTCCCTGGGGCCCCATGTGGACCCCTTCTGTCTGCCATGTTTGTGAGTTCCTCTGTGAAGGTGGAGAGGTGACCAGTCCTCTGCGTCTGCCCCTCACAGGATTTCTCTGGAAGACCTGAGTCCCAGCGTGGTGCTGCACATGACGGAAAAGCTGGGCTATAAGAACAGCGACGTCATCAACACGGTGCTCTCCAACCGCGCCTGCCACATCCTGGCCATCTACTTCCTGTTAAACAAGAAACTCGAGCGCTATTTGTCAGGGGTAAGTGGGTCCCCAGAAGAGTGTCTTCTTTCTCGTGTTTCGAAGCCTCCGACACTTGATCCGTGCTGATATTTTAGCCTAAAACTTGAGGCCTGGTCTCTTGAGTGTGGGATAAAGGACTGGCAAAACCCGTTTGTCAGATGGGGCTGCGGGACTGAAAAGTGTTCCAAGCCCTCTCCTGTACAGGTTAACCCTGGCAGAGCCCTGCCGGGTTTGTTTTCTGGTTTCAGTTGTCAATTCTTATTCTGTCACCTCTGAGCTCTTTGGGTTCTCCACTTTAGAGGAACTGGAGTCTTCACTGCCGGCAAAGGTTAGAGAGCGGTGCCTGGATCGACAAAGGATGGCCGAGGAAAACCAGATCACTACTCAGCCCTCTGTCCCAATGGGACAGATTCAACTGACTGTGGGTCAAAAATACTTAGAATATTATATTAGTTGCTGAACAGGTTCACTTTTCTCTTATTATTCCCAAAATAATAGATGCAAAGCATTTGTGTTGGTCTAGAGATTACAGTTAAGTCAGGGATTTGAAGTGTATGGGAGATGAGCATAGTTTATATGCAAATGTTGTATGGTTTCCTATAAAAGACTTATACAAATTGGGATTTGTAGGGGACCCTGGAACCAGTTACCTCAGGGTGCCACGACAAAAAATATGTTTAGGTTTATGTCTCCAGAAAGTAAGAACACAATGGGCTTCATTGGGTTGACTCTGGCAGCCTCACACAGGCCAGATGTTAAAAAGCCCAAGTGGTGGGGTGGAGAGATGGATCAACGGTTAAGAGCACTGGTAGCTCTTGCAGAGGACCTGGGATTCCCAAAACCCACAAGGTGGTTCACAACCATCTGTAACTCCAGTCCCAGGGGATCTAGTGCCTTCTTCTTGCGTTGTCTGATACAAGGCGCTTACATCGTACAAATACATGCAGGCGAAACACATTTTATTTCACGTGAAAAAAAAAAAACCTAAAGAAATAAGAAAAGAAACTCCAAGTGTGCCATGCCATGTGTGAAGCACAGTTTGGATACCAGTAGTACTTTGATGTTATGGTACCTGTATCATTGGGCAGAGTAGTTCATATGTCAGTCATCTCCAAATAGGCAGTCGCTCAAAGAGAATTCTGTAAGACAGTATCTAGATTCTACACAAAACTGCTCTGCTCGCATTAGCACGGGAGTGAAGGTGCAGCATGCACCAACTCTATCTAACACGTCAGAGAAACTCCAGCCCATCTGAGACTTGGAAGACCTGGAAGACCTCTCTTAAAGATGTTCTCAACCCTGTGTGCATTGCACCTTGAGGTCTGTGTGTGTGCCCATGTCTATTTTGGAAGACAGATGGTAAGATCAAACTTCTGGAGATAGGTCAGTGCTGTTTAAAGTCACACAATAGCCTAATATGCCAAAAAAAAAAAAAAAGCATCAGTATGGTTAGAAACATTTTAAAGTTTCTATCTTAGAACAAAAGATGAAAGTCTGTCCACAACTAGGGAAATGATAGTTTCCTGACAGGGCAGAAGTGACCAAAATAATATCCATAAGGCATGATGGTCCCAGCGGAACTCGTGGTGGCAGAGAGGCTGAGAGGCCATTAGATAACATGGCTCAGCTCATGGAGAGGCTTGCCTGGAGGTTGGCTAAACATCTGGATGGAAGTGCCGAGTCTCCCAAGCTGGTTCAGCTTATGTTTGGCTTCCAGGAAAATTTACCCAGAGCTTTCTTGGTGTGTGTGTGTGTGTGTGTGTGTGTGTGTGTGTGTGTGTGTATGAGAGAGAGAGAGAGCAAAGGAAAGACGTGTGAGAAGAAACACCAAAATACTTTCTCAAACAAGAACAATGATCATGATGAGTTAAGTGTTTTGTACTTCTGATAGAGACCCATCTTGAGCTTTCAGACTATGAGATGGTTCCAGTGTGGCAGCAATCAGTCATAGAAAAATGACATCAGGTGTCATGTTATCCTAGTCTTATTCTAGTCTTATGTGGTCAGCCACTCTGACAAAAAACAGCTTGGAGAAGAAAAGGTTTACTTGGTTTATGGTTCCCACTCACAGTCTATCATCCATGGCAGTCAGGGTAAGAGCTAGAGGCAGGGACCAAAGCAGAAAGGCGACTCATGGCTTGTAGTCTATCCTGCTAACTTTCTTATATAGCCCAGAATGACCTGCTCAGGGGAGGCACTGCCCAGAGTGGGCTGGGCCCTCTGCATCAATTAATAATCAAGACAGCTGCCCACAGACACGCCCACAGACAAGCCTGGTACAGACAGACAGTTATGCAGTTGAAACTTTATTCCAGGTGCTTCTAGGCTGTGTCAAGTTGACAGCTAACACTAACATAGAAAGACAGGATCTGCAATCAAGCTTTCATAGGCAATATAATATATAATGTATATATATTATATAATATATACATCAATATGGAATCTATACTATATATTGATATGTATCAGTATTATATATACATATATATGTGTCATAGGCATACATACACAACACGCATACGCACACACATATGTCTGTCATATCTATATCTATATCTATATCTATATCTATATCTATATCTATATCTATATCTATATCTATATCTATATCAAGAGCTTGATACTCACCTTCCTCATGCCCTAGCCTCTGGGGAGCATTCCCATCCTGTGTCACGACTTGCCAGAGAAGGAAAATAACTTCAGGCAGAAGGGCCAAATGAGTGCAGTGGCCTCCCTTTTAAACAACCCACTTTCTTGGCAACTAACTCGCCCGTATGAGACAGTATCAGTCCCTTCCATGAACAATGCCCCGGCTGACCTAATTATCTTGTGTCAGTCCCCTTCATCTTAAATGCACTTATCACTTCTTAACACTCACACATGAGGGACCAAACTTCCGGAAGGCACACTTAAACCACAGTGGTATGTTCTGTTACTTTATTAAGTGATGATGATGATGATGATGATGATGATGATGATGATGATGATGATGATGACATTAACTCTCTGCTCTCACCAGAAGAACCTTAGAGACATGTAGGACTTGAGGCTGTTCTTCGATTCTCTGCTATAAGAGGACTACCTCTCCAAATCTCTTTCTCATCTTCTCCTCTTAGACTCCTCCTTTACTGTGTTGAAGATGTATTAGTGCAGTGGTACATCATAAATAATAAATACTCATATTCTCAACGACACCTCTGGATAGCTCTCTCACTCATTAAGGCTCTAGGTAATACCATTTGGAGACCATGACCGAAGCTAAAGGTAATCTTTCAAATGGTCCCGTAACTAAGAGGAGGGTATGTGCACACTGATTGTCTTTCTCAAGTGATGACAGCTGTTCAGAAATTTTAGAGTTTCTTGGTGGAGCTGGTGTGGAAGAGAGTTTTTAGTCCCATATTTTACTGGGTATTGTTGCTACAGAAGTGGGTAATGTAGTCTTTGGTGTAGTCAGATTTAGATGCAGGGTGCTTTTTCCCAACAGTGTCCCATGGCTGCTTCCACGTTTACACCTGGCAATGTTGCTAATGCACATTCCTCTGACACCATAGCTCATGTCAAGCAAGAAAGACATTGTGTCAGAAACTTGTAGGCTGTGTCTTGCTTGGCCTGGGCTTGGCCTGGACTCCTTGCCTTCTGCTGTCTTTTCCTCTCTTCAGTTTTGTCTGGCACCAGTTACAAAGCTGAGTGTGGCTTTTTCCCATGGAAAGCATTCCCTGGAAACCCAGACCACGCCGTTCTGCCTGGAGAAGATTTTGGTTTCACTGAGCATTAACAATGATCTCTTCAATCATAAGATGTACCTGGTCTAAGAGTCCTCTATGCAAGTGCAGGGAACTGATTTCTGCCTCTGACTGCAGCTGGCCTACACTGTAATATCCAGATGTGGCTTATTTAATTGCCCTGTAGGCACCATCCCAGCTATCACGCCAATCACTAACAACCCATGTGTGATCTGGAAATCCAGCTCAGTGAACTAGAATCCATGTCCCTCTGTTTGTTGTTTCTCCCCTTCTTTCCCCACTGCTTTCTTTTTAGAATCAAGAGACACATATTTTTAAGGTCACTGGCTTCCATTGTGGTTTTCCTTTGGGCGCTGTATTTTCATGCAGTTTTTATTTTTCATTTTGTTTGTTTGAGGCTGGGTCTCCTGTCCCAGGTGGGTCTGAAACTTTCTTTACAGTAAAAGATAACCTTGAACTCCTGATCCTTCAGGACCCACTTCCCGAGTCCTGATATTACAGGTGTGCGCCACTACGCCTGGTTTTGTTTCCTGCTGCAGACTGAACTCAGAGTTCCTGGGTCCTAGGAAAACGCTCTGCCAGCTGAGCTACATTCCCAGCCATTTTACAATGAGCAAGCGAGCATGCTGCTTCCTAGTCAGTGGGGTCAGTTCTCCCAGCTTAACTATTTGGTAAACACAGGGCAGATGAACTCAGTCCCAGTATAGGGTGGAGACCAGCCCAGGGCTGTCTGACCCTGGGCCTGGCTTCTCCTCATGCTCAGTAGTGGGATGAGACTGCGTTGCAGCTCGCTGGCGTCCCAGGCATTTTTGACATTTTCTCAGCTAAGCACTGGACGAGAAACTCTCAACCCTGTAATGGACATTTCTATTTCCCAAGACTTAAGCTGTGCTTCTTATTTCTTTCTCCGGTAGAAATCTGACATCCAAGATAGCATCTGCTACAAGACCCAGCTCTACCAGATAGAGAAGTGCAGAGCCACCAAGGAGCCCTATGAGGTGAGTGGCCCTGGGGCAAATGCGAGGCGCTTTGTCCACTTTAAAGGGAGGATGGAAAGAAAGCCGCTACCGTAGGACACAGACTTGCCAAAGAACTAACTCCCTTACGGGTGAGCCCCGGAGAACTGGTCTACAGCGGACCCAACATTGCTCAGCCTCCAACCCACAGCGCTACGTGGCACATATAACCAGGAGCATTGAATCGCTGGTGTGCTCAGTCCGTACCACAGACCACTGGGAGGCAAGACTCCTGTAGTTTTACCCCTAATCTGTTAGTGAGATGTGCTAAATGGCTTTCATGTTTAAAGTTTCATTCATTATACACAGTGTTGCTCTACAGAAGGACATTTCGAGCAAGTACATATGGTACTTTGGATGTATTTCCCCCACGTCTTCTTCCTTCCCCCCTGCTCTAGAATTAGTCCTTTGTTCCTCTAGACAGCTTGGCTTCTGCTTTCATGGCATATACATATGTGATTTTGTATATCTATAAGATCTAGGAACCACATGTGAGAGAAAGATGATATTTATCTTCAGGGTCTGGCTTAATTCACTTAATATTAGTTCTCCCAGTTTCGTTTTCCTGCAAAGGACACAACTTTATTATTCTTTATGGCTGGGGGAGAAAAACCCAAACCTTTTGTGTATATAGGATGTAGACCTCATCTTGCTTACCCATCCATCAGCTGCTGGACACCCAGGTTGGCCTCCATGGCTTGGCTATTGTGAGTAGAGTTGCAGTAATTATTGGTGTGCAGATTCTTCTGTGTTGTGTTGACTTGGAGGTCTTCTGGGAGGCTAGTTCTGAAAGCTGTCTAGATGGATTCCCTTGGGCGCTCACAGCTGGAAACACCTTGAGCACTCACAGTTGGAACCCCAAAACTGGGGTACTCCAATAGGGCTGAATGGCACAGTTGGCATGAGAAGGAAGATGAAGGTGAAGAGCAGGGAAAATTCTGGGTGGAAATGAGTTTTCCAGTCAGCTTTCCCCAGGGTCTTGAGATGACATGCATCGTGCCTGAAAGCAGAACACTGCGGCTCTTTGATTCAGTCAAAACCCGTACCCTGTGGCAGCTCCGATGGTTACAAACGTAGACCAGAAGTGTGCATTGTGAAGAGGTTTTGCTGTGGATTTTCAGACCCAGCACCAGGAGTGCAGGACTTCCTCACCACCAGGATCTCTCTTGGGCTCTTTTCACTCAGTTTCATCCCAAGGAGCCAAACCCCCTCCCTGTAGAGAGTTCCTCAGAACTGCTGGGGCCCTGTCGCTGGAACCTTGTGGAAAACTCAGGAACCTATTCACTGACAGAGAGGTCAGAAAGGGCTCCCATGCCAGACTGGGACACTCCCTCTTTTTCTACCTCAAGGGAGGCCTTGGGAACCAGGAAGATGATATGAGCAAAGTTCAGCAGAGCCAGCTGTGCCAGCTGTGCAGTTGTTCTGAGGATGCTGGGGAGAGCAGCTTTGAGGAAGAGAAGAAGACAGAAAACCCAGTTGACATATGAGGGGAGACAGAGAACAAGCAGAAATGCTGAATATCACAGTGGTACTGGGATGCAAGGAGGAAACCCAGCCACTCTGTGAGGACTCAGGCCTCTCTGGGCAGGAGGGAGGGTAAGGGAATGAGAGTCAGAGAATTGGTTGGGGTGGAGGAAATTAGTTAACTGCCTCCTCTCTCTGAGAGCAGCTGTAAGGCTCCAGGATAAAAAGGCCTTTGGGAAGGTGGGCCCTCTCCAGCAGACCCTGAGCAACAGACCCATGCGAGGCTGTGAGGCTGATGCTGGGGAAGTGGACTGGAGACCCAGAAGCGGCTGAGCTCCAGGCCTTGCTGACTAGTTCCGACTCCGAGTTGCCCTTGTTCTGCGTGAGCGGATGTGGTTCAAATTTAACACACACATAAGCACTCCCCACTGCCGTCCTGCCCAGGGGCAGAGGAGAAACAGGCATCCATCCTCAAGAGACGGCTACTCACCAAGTCCTGGTGTGGAGCCTGTGAACCCCACAAACTTCTACTCTCTGGTCCCCTGATGGCTACTCATCACTGTCTTTCCCACACAGTAGCCAGAGCAGGTTTGTCACTGTCCAGTCACGTCACGTCACTTGCCTTCTGGAAGCCTTTGGAGGCTCGGTGACATGACCACCTGTGTGGGAGTCAGCTGCCATTTGCTTCGGCCCCCATGGTTTGGCCTCACACCCAACAGCACCTGAGTCATTTTCTTGCTTTGTGCCTCCTTCACTGGGCCTAAAAGGTTTGTTTTTACCGCTCTTCCTGCCAGGGTTGGGCGTACCCATTCCTTCTTCCTGGATCTCCTCCCTGCTTCTTTTTTCCACCTGTGTATCTTCAGACATGGAGGTGTGGTCATTCTCTGACATCTGCCATTGGGCCCCATTCTTTCTAATGCGCCTGCCGTTCAGTGTTCTGTAGACCAGGATGGTCTTAGCGCCTTCTCACTTGTTTCAGGGAATCACCTGATAAACAAATGCCTCTCCCAGTTTGGTCCCTGAGTTCCACAAGAGCAAGGACTATGCTACTATCCAAGGAGCCTGCATGATTCCTGGCATGGTGGAAGTTCTCAGTAAATATTTGTTAAGGGAATAAGTGAAAGGATGACACGGACCTTGTCCTGTGTCAGAACACGGATCTAACTGAGGCAAGGAATGAAGGGGCAGACCGTTCCAAGTGTAACACTTAGTTCAGTGCCTGCAGTGTCATAAGCCAGAGACACTGTCACTAGATGGCTGGGAACAGACTCTCCTACCACTTACACTGAGGCCGGTCACCCTGCTGGAGCTGAGCATGCAATATTCACTTCTAGTATGCGTTCAATAAAAATAAAAAGGCCCAATGTATGTACCCTTGGTGTCCTCTGCGCCTCCTGGCCCATGCCCGTCTTCCTGTCTGTGCCGCACTCACACCCAGCGGCTCTGACTGGAAGTGCCAGAACCCTGATGGGAAAGCGCCCCATCTCTCAAGCAGATGCCTCTTCTCTGACGGCTATTTCCACTTGGCCAGAAAACACATGGCGCCGGCTTTAAACATTTGTTGAAATATTGAACAGTTAGGATTTAAATAGGAGCACTAATGGGCAAACTGCATTTCAGTTTTCTGTGACCCATTTGTTTCTCCAGTGCACAGTACTACTTCTGCTAATTGAATTACAGGCTGTTACTACGGCGCCCCACTCATCCCTATAGAAACCCAGAGATTGGAGTGTGGGGCTGGCCAGAAAAAGCTCTAGGAAGGTCTTCAATGGCCGGGGTCGGGGAAGAGGAGGACAGGGAGTGGAGTGTGAAGTTGTAGGATTTGACTGTAGGGCCACGTTCTCTGGGGATATCAGGAAGCTGTGTCCTGCGCTCTGAGTGCATGGGTGGCCTCTTTTTTATTTCCTCATTTCTATTCCTCTTTTTCTGCTGGAGGACAAATCAGCCTAATTGAGTTTTCAGAACTTCCCTTTGGGAGGTTACAGTGCTATGCTATTAAGAATTATTCTTCCTCTTCATGTAAAAAGGCAAAGGCTATTTTGTAATATTGGAACATGTAGCTGGGTGTGGTAGTGCACATCTTTAATCTTAGACGTGGGATTGGCAGGCAGAGGCAGGGGGATCTCCGCGAATTGGAGGTCAGCTTGGTCTACATGTGAGTTCCAGGATAGCCAGGACTATGTAGAGGGACCCAGTCTCAAAAAGAAAAAGAAAAGAAGTGAGACATGTGTCTCACTTGGGAACACCAATGCATGGTGTCCAAAGGACCCCTGGGCCACTGAAGTAGAGATGGGACAGTCATGATTTTCAACCTAGTTACTTAAGGTGGCTTCAAATGGGGTAGGGATAATGGAGCATGCTTTTAATTGTAGCACTCAGGAGGTAGTCATCTGTAGATCTCTGTGAGTTCAAGGCTAGCCAGGGCTACACAGTGAGAATCTATCTTAAAATAAAAACATGGTGCAAAGCTGTTTTTGTTGAAATCTCTTTTAAAGTATTGATTTTTAAATTTTGGACTAGAAACAGGAAGTCTTTCCAGACAAGGTCGTGGTCATGGGGCAGCAGGGACTGGATTCTTCTGACTGGCTGTGTAACAAACAGCACCTAGGGCAGACATCTGTTGTCTCTCAGTTCTAGAGGTCAAGGTGACTTAGGGCTTCTCCAGGCTTCTGATGGTCACTGCTGATCTGCTCTCCTTGCCTCCCTTCTCACACCATGTTAGATGCATTCCTGTGTCCAGAGTCTTCTCATAACCTGCCACATTGCAGAAGGGTCCTCCTGACAGCCTCAGTTTAACTCAGCTGTCGCTGCAAATACCTGACACCAAACAAGGTTATGCTCTGTGGTCCTAGAGGATAAAACTCCAATATAGAAATTTAGAGCTGTTGTTAACCTGTGGGGACCATAGTTTAAAGATAAATGTTAAGATGTTAAGCTCATGACTTATTTAAAAATCTGTCTGACTTGGGCTGGAGAGATGGCTCAGCAGCCAATCTTCAGGGGATCCTGGTGCTATTCCCAGCACCTACATGGAGGCACGCAGCAGCTTGTAACCCCAGTTTCAAAGAATCTGTAGTCGTGTTCTGGCTCCATGGGCACGTGCACATACATGGTACATATAAGCTCACATAGACACATATATACATACACATAAAAATAAAGTACGGCCAAAGAGCTGTTTACAGTTGATACTGCTGCCAAAGAGAAAACAGAAGCAGGGAGTGTTGCGGCACAAAATGAACTCCGTGTTTTTTGCTTGTTTTGTTTTATTAGGTTTTTTTGTTTTTTGTGTTTTTTTTTTGAGAGAGAGACACATACACAGAGAAAAACTGTGAAACTGGGTGGGTGGGTGGGATCTGGGAGGAACTGGGGAAGAAGAAAACATCATCAAATGATTGTGTGTGTGTGTGTGTGTGTGTGTGTGTGTGTGTGTGTGTAATAAAGAGGAAAAGAAGTAAAGTGTGGAGTCAGGTCACACGGCTTGTGCAGCTGGCCATTAGACCGGTAGCTGCCCCAGGGACAGACAGGCTGGGAGAGGAAGCAGCCAGGTGACCCAGCAGGTAAAGGCAATTGCTGCCAAGCTGACCCAGTGCTTGCTTCCCAGAACCCACATGCTGAAGGGGAAGATCCGGCTCCTACAAGGGGTCCTCTGACCTCCACATGGGTACCATGTTTCTTTATTAATTAGTTAATAAACAAAGCAATTAATTAATAAAACAGAAGAATAAGTTTTAGAAAGAGAGTTTGTGCTGTGGGAAAAAAGTCTGAGGAGAAGCTCCCAGGTGCTGATCTGGTTCTTGATATGGGGCTGTTCCCATGGTTCTCTTCCCTGCTGGGGAAGCACGTTGAATTGCTTCCTTGTCGGGAGAACACCCCTCCCCTCTGAGTCGTAGCGTTTAGTGACTTCACCTAAAAGACTGCTCTGTGTGTGAATCCGCTCCCTCCTTACACTGCAAGGGGGGTAATTTTCTTATAAGCATTAAAATGATTAATTTCCATCACAGGCACGGGGGAAGGCATGCAAGGTAGAGCTCTGAGGATAAGTCATAGATGTCACTCCTTGAACTGATGAAAATTGCTGTTTTTCACAGGCCTCCCTGGACACCTGGACAAGAGACTTTGAGTTCCATGCTGTGCAAGTAAGAACTTGTGGGGGTTCTGATGGATTAGCCAGGTTCTACAGAGAGATACATTCTTGCTCACTTGCATACACATATGAGAATAGAGATATGGCAGAAAGGATAGACAGATACAACCGTCTTTAATTCTTGTGTGTATGGTATTTGTGCATGTACTTGTGTAATTGTAACTATGGAGTTGAGGAGAGGGCACTGGTGTCCTCCTCTATCACTGTGCTTTATTCTTTTGAGGCAGTGTCTCTCCCTGAACCTGTAGCTAGCTGGTTTTCCAGCTAGGCTGAAAGATCCAGAAATCCTCTTGTCTCAGCTTTTCAAAATGCCAGGGTTACAGGTATACACAAGACCACACTTGGCCTGCTATGTGCTAACATGTAATAAGCTAACATTCAAACTCAGGTCCCCGTGGTCGGGTAACAAGCGCTCTGAGGCACTGAGCCAGCCCCACAAGCCTGCTCATTCTGTTCTTCTTAAGGCTTTTAACTGACTGGATGAGCTGCAGCACGTTAAGGAGGGTCATCTACTATCTGTAGCATCTGCTGCTGTGGATGCTAAAGATCTTCAGGAACATCCCCTTTGCAGCAGCATCCACACTGCTGTTGGCCACACTCTAGATAACGTGGCCTAGCCAAGCTGACGCCCAGGAATTAACAAGAGATCCTGAGCATCAGCCAGTTCCCCTCAGAGACTGCAACCCTCTTTCCTTATCCTGAATCGAGGTGCACAGAATCCTGTTGAGAGTTGATTGGATCCCCCAACCCCCACCCCAGATGGGCTTGGTGCCTACTGTGCAGAACTGAGCATGTTTCTCTTTCATTCCTGCTTCTACTGCAAGGGTTTGCAGCAGCCGAAGGGTTCCTGGTTCTGTGGTCTGATTTATGAATCAACCCTTCTTTTTAGAAACTCACTCATAGTTATTTGCTTGCTTGCTTTCTTACTTTTCCTGCAGCCAAATCTGGCACGATAGGCATAAAGGGACCAATACCAACTGCTTAGTGGCATCTGGGAAAGCTGGCCATCTGGGGTGTGAGGGCTGGGCTCACACTTTAAGCCGCCCGGTGAAGCACCTTCATTTCCAGCCAAGCTCCCAGTGAGCCTGATAGAATTCACCCACTCACGGAAGCATCTTCAGGTGCCCTCACCCTTCAGGGCTCTCCCTATGCCATACTCACCCTCAAAACAGGAGAGAAGTCAGTTTCCCAAGGGACAGGTCTGCCTTCAGCCTGGGATGAGAGGAGGTTCAGAATGTTGGTGGTTGTCATTCCGGTCACCATGCTGGTGCGGGATGGTGACAAGGAGCTGGCAAGGACCCACACTTCAGGTTAAAGATGTGTGTTGGTCTGTCTGTGCCTTTGTGTGCATCTATATGGCTCTGTAAGTGTGTATGTGTGTGTGTGCACCTGTGTTTTTGCTACAAAACCTTGTCCTCCTTTGCTTCAGAGAAGGTAGAAGGCAGACCGTGTTTCATGGAATCAGAGGAGCAGAGAACAGTGGAAACCCGTGATTATCTCCTGCTGGCCTTCCCATGGTCACCTGGAACACACCTCGTAGCATTCTGGATGTCTTAGTGCATTTTTTTGTTGTTAACACCAGAATGCTTGGGGCCAGATCATTTATGAACAACAAAAGGTTATTTCTTACATTTCTGGAGGTTGGGAACCCCAAGGACTTGGTGCCAGCGTCTGGGGAGGGAGGGCCCCTCACTGATCCACACGGTGATGAAAGCTGAGATTCTTCTTTTGTTGGGAGGCTGCTCCTATGGTAACTAAACCTCCAGCAGCCACCACCTGACCCTACCGCAGGCCATGTGGAGACAACAGTTCATAGTACCGGCTCGAGGGCTGTGGAGATCAGAGATTTTAGTCTGCCTGTCGGGTGACTCATCGGACCCTCCCAGGCCATTTCTTCATGGCAGGCTCCTTGTGACCTTGGTCATGGCAGTTGGGGGCTGAGGAAGCCTTAGGAGCTGTGTGAGCATCTTCTTCCATCTCACTTCTTTTCAGTGGGTAAGGGTTGTGCCTCCTTGGAGGGTAGCTCCTGGGCGCGTCACTGAAGACCCAGCATCGTCAGTTTCATTCCTCCCCAGTTGTTCCTTCCCATCCCGGAGCCAGCCTTCATGAGCTTTCTGCAAAGGTGCTGGCCATCCTTCTTGGGAAGGGCACTTTTGTGAAAGTGCAAAGAGACGCTTCCTCGCAAAGCTTTTCAGCACACAAATGAAAAATTGATGAGCTTCCTTGAACCGCAAAGCCTCTTCAACTTGAAGGCAAAAGAAATGTGGAAAGCTGCCTTCTACCCTCACCCAGAGCGAGGTCAGGAAGGCCTTGCCTGTGTTTAACAGTAAACATCAGTGTTGTTGTCAGGGCCAGAGAAAGGCTTTCTCCTTCTGCAGCTGCCTAGAGGCTCCACCATTCCCGGAAACTTGAACTCAATTAATTTTAATTCAGTTAAGTTTCCACTGACCCTGTCTCCCTCCCAATAGCTGCTTTTAATGCTGTTTCCAAGTGCCTGGCTTGATGCCAGAGGCTGTGAGGGTGAAGGCAAATCAAACAGTCAAGCCCACTCCCATTAGAAGGATTAGTATCTGGTTCTATAAAGATAAAATCTACAGCTGAAAACATGGCGGCGTACATTCAAGTTCTAGATCTACATGTAAATGCTTCCATGCTTAGACAGTAAAAAGGGTTAGGAACCCACCGGGGCTTCCCGGGCTCTATAGGGTTTAGACACACATTCTATAGGGTTCTGATGTTTAATGAAAGTGGTTATCTCTGTGTGTACCACATTTTCATTGCAGTTGAGATCTCTAGGTACTGCTGGATGGATGGATGGATGGATGGATGGATGGATGGATGGATGGATGGATTTAGTATTTTGAGACAGGGTCTATTTGATTTATTATTATTGTTGTTGTTATCTACTTGAGAAAACAACTTATAGGACTAATTATTTTGCTTGTAATTTCAGAGTTTTCAGGCCATAGGGGTAAGGGCATAGCAGAACTGTTTATATCATGGCAGATGGAAGCAAACAACAGTGATAGAAACAGTGATAGGAAAGAGGCCAAGACAAAATATAACTGCCAATAACACACATTCAGTGACCTCTCTCTCAAGCAAGTCTGCTTCCTAAATTTCACCTCTCCCCTAGCAGTTGGTTCAGATTTGAAGCCATCAACAGATGCATAGATCAGGTCAGCATCCTGGTGAGCTAAGGGTCTATAAGGAACTGTCCTTATAGACCATCCCAAGAGCAAGTATTCTAAAGCCCCTACATATTGCTTGATCTGGTCAAGCTGACTGTCAAGATTCACAACAACCAGATCTGACTGTGTAGGTCAGGCTGGCTGGCCTTGAACCTGAAATTTTTTCTGCTCAGCCTCAGAATAATGAAATTATAAGTCTGCACCACCATGCCCAGATAAGGCAATACTTCAAATGTACACAGTAGGTCTTTAGAACTCTGAATTGTTTGCTCCTTAGTTCCTTGAGATTTTTCCAGAGTCCCTGATCACACAGGGTGGCCTTGACCTGGAACATGCTTACACAGTGGAGCCAGAGTGAGCTGGTCTAGAGAGTCAGGTTTACTTGCTTCCAGGCAGAGGGAGCTGGCTCTGGAGCATGGGCTGTGCCTCAGCCCTCCCCTCAATCCACACCCTGGGAAGCACACAACATTTAAGAGATGAGTTCCTCTGAGAAGAGATGACTTCTCAGAGGCAGATGCTAGGGTATATTCTTGTGGGTGTCTGAATACATACGTTCACTTTGATTTGAAGGATAAAAAGCCCAAGGAACAAGAGAAGAGAGGCGACTTTCTTCATCGTCCATTTTCCAAGAAGTTGGAAAAGAGCCTGCCTTCTCACAAACAGCCCTCAGCCTCGCTCATCACGCAGATTCAGAACACCAAAGCCCTGCTCAAAGACCGGAAGGCCTCCAAGTCAGGCTTCCCCGACAAAGGTGGGTCAGCTCCACGGTCCTCCTCCCTGTGTGGAGGAGGCTGTGTGGGCTCACAGTGGAGGTGACGGTGGCTCTGGGAAGGTCCCGCTGGTACATTTAGTACAAAGAGCCTCAGGGGCCAAGCAATGGGCCCATGTTGACCTCATGTTGACCTCAAGTGCAGGCTCTGAGGAGTCGGAGACAGGCACATGGTGTAATGGGAGCAGAGACTGAGGAACACAGAGCTGCAGGGCAGTGTTGAAGGAGGGACAGAGGGATGGGGCAGCAAGTCGACAGAGTGTGAAGGACCACAGACGAAGAGTTGAGGTGCATAGACGTATAGAGGCAGGGATTCGGACAGAAAGTGTAATAGGAGCAGGGCTGGGGTGTGACGCTGTAGGGGCAGGGGCTGGGGTGTGACACTGAAGGACTAGTGATCAGGCAGACACTTGTGGCGTAAGTGGCTGGGATGTGTCATGCCGGAGCAGAGGTTTGGGTGATGGTGTGGGACTGGAAGGCAGGGCGTAATCATCATCAAAGCAGGTCGGGGAGCAGAAACAGAGGTAAATGTGCAGGATGAGCAATTAGCACACGCCCATCCCAGGGTTGAGAGGAGTACATGACATTACGGGAAGCTGTGGGGTAGATTGACAGGAGCCAGAGGTGGAGGGCAAAAGCAGATGCTGGGCTGTGGGTTTCTTGGAGCTTTTCTCCAAACCACGGCCCCAAGTGTGACTGTGCCTGGGTTCCAGACTGGTAGTAGAATTCACTGACCCAAGTTCAAGTCCCAGCTGTCCTGTTGTTTGTGGGCCAAAGGTCTTCACTGAATCCCTTAGTTGTACTAGCCTCTGGCTGTTAGAGCTACAAGGTGGATTCAATGTGTCCTGACTCAGAATCCATTCCATTTTTCATAACTGATACACAGGAGCCTCCTTCCATCATGTCACAGGTTCAGGATGCATGGAGGCGACACCTTGGGAGGGAGGCGTGGAAGCTGGGGCTGTCCGAACATGGAATCATGAGGCAAGAGTGCTCTCTCTATTGTAGGCTGGTGGCAGAAGCTTTCTTATTTATTTTAGAGGTCACAGCATCAGATCCGGAGGCTGGGGGGGGGGGGCGGAGGGTGGTTGTGTGAGTCAACTCAGGCGAGTTGCTCAGGCTTCAGGCTTAGTGAGAGTCAGGGACAGCAGGCTATCCCTTCACTGTCCAGAGCGGCCTGTCTTAGTGCACAGAACACAGCAGACCTAGAAGAGGAGGTGACGCTCGAGAGCCAGCCCGATCACCGACAACATTAGCCATCAGTGAAACCATGCTTCTTCCTGCTCTCACATCTCAGGCATCCGCTGTCCGAGGAGATTTTATTTCTGAGGCTGAGGATTTATTTGTGTGGGCAAAGAAGCTTCTTGGAGCCCTCCACCACTCCTGAAACTACTCCCATACCCTAGAAAAGCCTTCTGGGCTTCTGTGGGGACCTCAGATGCTCTGGCTGACTCTCCTTCTAACTAAACAAGGCCATTTGTTTCTTGTTTCCTTGTACGCCGAGTTGTTGCTATACGCTGGGGAGAACAGCGTGGGTAGAATAGTTGTGTGCGCTTTCCAAATCTATTTTCATGGTCTTGCTTTCTTGGTGTGTAGATTCCTTCGGCTGCCGCAATCTTTTCCGCAAAACTTCTGATTCCAATTGTGTGGCTTCTTCCTCCATGGAGTTCATCCCTGTCCCACCTCCCAGGACACCAAGGATTGTAAAGAAACTAGAGCCACACCAGCCAGGGCCAGGAAGTGCCAGCATCCTCCCCAAGGAAGAGCCGCTGCTGCTGGACATGGTTCGCTCCTTTGAGTCTGTGGACCGTGAGGAGCACATAGAGCTGCTGCCCCCATCCCATCACCATAGGATCCTGAACTCACCTATCAGCTTGGCTCGGAGGAATTCTAGCGAGAGGACGCTCTCCCCGGGGCTGCTGTCCGGAAGCATGTCACCTCTCCAAACCCCACTACATTCCACGTTGGTCTCTTTCACCCATGAAGAAAAGAACAGCCCCCCCAAGGAGGAGGGTGTGTGTTCCCCACCTCCGGTGACCACCAATGGCCTCACGCAGCCTCTGGGGAGCCCCAACTGTGTGAAAAGCAGGGGAAGGTTCCCCATGATGGGCATCGGGCAGATGCTAAGGAAGCGGCACCAGAGCCTTCAACCTTCCTCAGAGAGGTCCCTGGAGACCAGCACATCCCCACTGCAGCCCTCTGCCCCCTCCAGCCTCTCCTTTGACATGGCTGATGGTATCAAGGGCCAATGTTAACACAGGGTGGCAACATTCCAGGTCTCTGAGGACAGCAATGGGACAGAGCTACACACACACACACACACACACACACACACACACACACACACACACGTCAGGGTGTGAGTAATCAACATCACAGGGGCATTTTTATTCTCTTAATCCTGCCACACCATGTCCCACACTTGGATCAGCTGAAATCCACAGATTCAAAGTCCACACACCCCGACTCGCTTAGGGACCCTCTGAGATGCTGAGAGTCAGGGGGATGCCCCATTTCAGCCTGAGATCCTCTCACCAATCACAAAGCCCTCACCACTGTCCCAGATGGACTCCGAGCCGAAAAGCACAGCTCCGTCTGCTGGACCACTCAGATTTCCAGACTGGGGCCGGGCCTTCCCTCCCCTGCTGTGTGTGCCTCTCGTGGACTGCTCTGTTCAACGGTCAGTCACAGTCTCACGGGACCACACCACCACTGCAAGGATGTCACCTAGCTGGGGGATCCCTTCACAGAGGGAAGCAGCTGTCTTTCCCCAACAGTGAGTCCCTGCGGGAGAGCAGAAGTCACAGTGCCTGACCCTGGGAATCCTGGAGGAAGATAGGACAGAACCTCAGCCAAAGATGGAACCCAGCAGTGAGAACCCAGATAGAAGGTGGAGACTGAAGGAAACACTCCTGTGTGATGTTATAACAGACTTTTTCTTTTCCTTTTTTTTTTTTTCTTTTTTTTGGTTGAAACTTGCTGAGGATTGAAAGAACTTGTCCAAAGAGATCTTTCTTTATTATTTCATTAAATTGTAAGTAACTTTTTTTTTTTGAGACAAGGTCTCATTAAGTAGCCCAGGCTGGCTTCAAACTCATCATCCTCCTGCCTCAGTTTCCAAAATGCTGGGATTACAAGTGTATACCCCTGTGTCTGGCTCAAGATAGCAATTAAAAAACAAAAGACAAAAAAAACCCTACATGACCAGATGGAAAGTACTTTTACCAATCATGTTTTTCTGGGAGGCTACATCTCAGATGGCCAAAAGGCTGGCTTGGGAGGTGATGGTAGGAGCATTAGACCACAGTGGCCTGCCTGAGGGATGACAGCCTAGCCATCCTGTGTTTATGCTGTGGCAGCAGCAGAAGGCATAGAACAGCTCCAGATGGTTCTGAAGAAAGACAGGATTCTTAAGGCAGAGTTGAGGCGGCAAGCATGCAGCGCTGTTTTTCCGCTGTGGTTAGATCTTAGCTGTTCTGCTGGGAGCAGGCTTGTCCACTGGGAGCACGTTTTTAGACGGGCCCATCCCCAAGGAAAATCGTGCAGTGCCCCCCAAATGGGGCATCAGTCCACGCTGTCTTCTACACCTTTGCCCTCCAGGATTGAACCAAAGATGCATTTCCAGTTTTGTGGCTATGCCGCCCCTGTGTGTCTCTTGTGGAACGTGGTGTTGTCTGATCCTGCCCAGCTGGTACTTGACGGGGGACTGTCTGTGTGGATCCTGGGCCCTGGTACTTAGCAGGGGACTGCTTCCGTCGTGAGTAGCATTTTAGGGAGGCAAGGAATTGGCACAAGCAGGATCACAGTGTTTTAGGAGCTGAGCTAAGGAACAGCCCAGAAGCTTTGATCATTGACTATTTCAGGTATGATCAGAGTCCACAACTATAGCCATCATCTTGGTCATCAGGTTCATCATGTTGGTCCACTGAGTCCAAAGTGGGAGGATCTCCATAAAATCACAGAGCCAGCCTTTGGTGGGGAGGGGTGAGACACAGGTTTGCCATTTCTCATTTACCAGTATGGCCTTCCTTTGGCCTCTCCACAGCTCTGACTGGGCAAGAGGAGAACATGCATTTGGCTGACCCTGGAAGCGGGGTGCTCTAGTTTTGGCTGATTTTGGTAAGACCTGGGCTGCTTAATCTCTAGTGAGGGACTCACCCCCTCCCTAGGGCCCCTAGGAGGAGGCCAAGCCTTTTCCAGCAGCTGGTGGTGTTCTTCAGCATGGCTTCAGTTCGGCTTCCGGGACTTAACGTTGAAACTAGAACTCCTTAAGCAGAGAGAAGAATCATCTACAGACACCCTGTCTGTTTGACGGGGTGTGGTGAGTTTCGATGGGTGAAGAGTCCTTTTTAAAGATAACTGCCGACTGGAAGCATCGGGCTCTACAAGCTGGTAGGATTTGTACCCGTGTGCTGGGCAAACCCCGCCCCCTTGTAGCCCCTTATGTCTTTATCTGGCTGTTTGCTTTTCTCACACATGTGTGTGCCTGTGTTGGTGTTAGCCTGTAGAGAAGGTGTTTCCCATTCTTCGGATGCTTCGAGAACAGCGTCAGATGCACAACTAGTTTCCTGTGTTGCCGTGGTAACTGGGACTCTGAACTCAGGTGTATAGTGAACCCAGTGAGAGGCAAAGGGGAGCAAGGAAGGGAAACAAGCTGTGTTTTGGGGTGTGTATAAACACCCGACAGACAAGTCTATGAAACCGAGTGAAAGAAGAAATGTCAAATTCTTTATTGTTTGATTATATTTATGTGGAAAACTTGACTATCCTCTTGTTAAGTAGAGAGTGTATTGTGTGTGTGACCCATGACTGTCCTTCACGGTCTCTGCCTGTGGTTCCAGTCAGCCTGTGGCTACCGATGGGAACGACCAAACTGCCGTCAGATGAAGTCCAGGAGGAAGACTCTATTTTAGTTGTACGATTTGGTCATAAGTCAGGACTATATTTATGTCACCATTATGGAATATATGTACTTTTATAATGGCTGTGAAATACACTTTTTCCTCACTATGGCTGCTTCTCTATTTATTGATATTATCTTAAAACGTTGACTATGTGGTACAGAGGACCGCTGGTTACTCAAAACTCTTGGCACAGATATGAATGGGAATGGAGGAGTGGGAGGAGGACTTGAGAGCACTTCCACTCCAGTCGGAGCTGGTTAATTTCCCCACAAGTGGGTGTTTGCAAAGGTTTATATGGCTGGTGGACTGAATGGCAGCTCAAGATGACTCAGCATATTAATGGGTCATGATTTTCCCAGGAGACTGGTGTCCGTGAATCTTGCTTCTGGAGTCTGTCCTTCTTTTAGGTCCTGGGTCAAGCAAAGGAGTAGATATGTGATGGAACAAGAGTAAATTAGCTGTTCAGATTGTCTTGGGCATGACAGCCCTCATGACTATTCACAGAATGTTTCTCTGTAGTGCCACCTTCCTTAATTAAGTCCTTGGGTCCCTTTCCCACAGGATCTGCAGGTTCAGTGGGTTGCACGGCTATGCAGCAAACAGGGCCCCTGTCCCCACTATACAGTCTCACTCAGAAGTTAGAAGGGAGCAGTTTGCACTTTTGATGTTTTATTGTAAGAATCTGTACACATTTCAGAGCAGAAGGAACCTAAGATTCTCTGGTCCAATGTTAGCCTCCTCCCTTCCTTCCTTTCCCTCCTCCCCCTTTTCCTCTTTCTGCTATTTCCTTTCTTCTTCAAGGTCTTCTCCAGGCTTGCCTTGACCTCACAATCTTCCTGATTCAGCCTCCTGAGGGCTAAGCTCACAGACATGCCCACCATACTCAGTTCCCCAGGCCTTTTAGAAGATGATGGCCCAGAGCTCCCAGGGGAACTGACTGCTGTGGGCTTGGGGGAAAGCTGAGGGCAAATCAAGCTGTTGTTGCAGCAGGCACTGCCGAGGCTCCTGCAAGGGCCCGTCTGTGCTTTCCTAAGTCATTCTCACAATGGTGCAGCTTCTCAGGAACCAGCAGATTGTTAAGCATTGTCCCCCTTTGCCACCCTCCACTGATTATTGGTAGAGCACTTCCTTTTTGGACTCTCCCATTTTCTTCAGTAAATCTGATGGAAATAGAAACCCCTTGTGTTTTGTGAGACTAAACCAACAAAGCATTTACACAGAGACGTGTCACACAGTGAGACAAATTTGGAAAGAATGCAAGACTGGCTTTTTTTTTTTTAAGCAGGATCTGGAAAGCCTCTTGGTTACTGTGTTTGTTTTCTGTGTACAATCCTCTGTGCCACAGACACACTGAGGATAATTCAGAGCAATGCTGGGAGCTGGTTCGATTTAATGTCATCGCCTTTCAGTGGAAGAAGTATGTTTCCTGAACGGTAAGCGAGTGTATTATCTGTGGCGGCTCTTTGCTCCAGGGAGCTTCTCAGACATCTGGTTCCACAGACAAACGGGGCACTTGTTCGTTCTTTGCTACATACGTATTCTCAAGGCACTCTGTTCTAGGATTTGATGTCTATAGGCACACAGGAATAGGTGTGTGTGTGTGTGTGTGTGTGTGTGTGTGTGTGCAGGGTGGTGCCAGGAGGCTTGGCTCTGCCCCTCACCTTCAGCAGGTACCTGCATCCGAGTTGGTGCACATGCAGGGAGATATCTGGGGGAATCCCATCTGGGAGACCAAACCAGCGAGATACGAGCGAACTATGGGACCAACCAGCATTAAGCAGCTTGTGATGAAAGATGGGATGAAGCAGAGAGGGAAATGGATTTACAGGTGAAGAAACAAATGGCGCTGGCTTCCAGGCTGGAGCTGCTTGCAGACCCTGCTTAGAAGAGGGCCCATCTTAGAAACAAAGGCCTTACCTTCTATTAAACTCTGTAACTTTATACAATAACAAAACACAATTTTCTACACGTCACACCACCAACAGCTGACAAAAGGGCAGGTGACAGTCTTGTACTGGAAACAAACTTTTCGCCCAGAATTGGGCTCACCAGTTCTGGATAGGAGCCACCTATGTGGGGGAATCCCACATAGGTGGGATTGCATAGCATACAATACCCCGAATCCTAACAATCTCAGCAAAGGTTTGTTTCCTACGAATTCTAACCAAACCCACTTAAAGACCATCCAAGAAGATGAGTGAATTCTTGAAAAAGCCACAGATTAGGGAGGATGGGCACTAGGCTTCTTCTTGAAGTGACTGGACCATTGCACTCATGAGCTCAAAGGAGTTGGGTTGCCTAAATGAGAGCATGGAGTGGGAAGGGCCCTCAGGCCCCCACCTGAGGAGCTGTGGACAGTTGATAGCTCCATGAGGAGGAAGAGTCAGCTTTCTTTAAGGGTGTGGCTCCATACCCAGAGATACGTGAACAAAAACTCGACTCAATGGGCTACTTAAGGAATATATTTTTAAAAAGAGGATGTGACATTGGGCAGGTAGGGACATGGAGATGGATCTGGAGGGGGAAAATAAAATCAAAATATACATCGTATGAAATTATCATGTGTGTTTGTGTTTAATTATAGTTCTTTGACAGCTACAGCCAGGAAGGGAGAGCAAGAGAGTTCCTGCCAGCTGGAAGGTTCTCTGTAAGGGGCAAACCATAAGTTTTGAACTGGGCTTTGGGCCTTGCCTGTGAGTGAAAGGCTGGAAAATGTAGAATTTGGTGATCCGGGTTGCAGTGGGTGTTTCTGCCATAGAAAGGTGCAGAGGCACGTACCATTTGAGGGACCCTGTTGCTAGTTCATTTCCTGGGAGATGTAGAACAAAACACGCAAACCACGTCTCTTCACCACTAACACATCTCTTCACCACTAACACGTCTCTTCGCCACTAACAGGCCCAAGAAAGTACTCTGGCCGGATGTGGTTGGACATAACTTTAATTCTGCACCTTGCAGTCATGGGCTGGCTTATCGCTGAGTTCAAGGCCAGCCTGGGCTGCACAACAAGTTCCAGGCCAGCCAATGGACGTACTGGGGTTGTTAACAGGGGCATGAGTGACTCAGACCACCAAATGTCCCCTAAGTGACTCAGGGACAACTATCCATCAGGAATTCCTTTGGCTGTTTACCTCTTACAGCATACTGACTGGGACTTTGGAGAAGTTCCTTGTGAGGGTTTTCAAACGCTTTGGGAGTCTGGTAATCCTCTCCTAGGAGGGACTCTTGGCAGGCTTGATCTCAAGACCATGGTCTTAGGCAGACCATCAGAGCTGACCTGCTTCAAGATGGCAGCAGTCATGTCCAACCAGGAAGAAACAGCTACCTCACGGTCCCCAGTGCAGAGTTTGGTGCTATGTGCTTGTAATCCTAGCACTGGGGAGATTAAAGCAGGGAGGATTGCAAGTGTAAGGCCAGCCTGGGCTAACGAGTGAGGCTCTAATGATAAGTAAGCCTTACTCCACTGTTAAACAATAATGGCAGCTATAGTAAGTGAGGGATTTTTCTGTTTGTGTGTGTGTATGCAGTTACACACGTGTGCGTGTGCATGGAGGCCAGAGGACAACCTTGGCTGTCACTCTTCAGTTGGTATCCACCTTGTTCTTTGAGACAGGATTGCTCATTGATGTGGAACTGTCCTAGTAGCTAGGCTGGAGGTGACAGCCCCGGGATCTTTCTGTCTGTGCGATCCCAATAGTGGAATGTGCCATCCCATGCAGGTTTTTTGATTTGTTTTTGTTTGTTGTTGTTTTCCTTTTATGTTTTTACAGTTTATTAATTTTATATCCCAATTGTAGCCCTCCCTCCCTCTTCTCCCCATCCCCTTCCCCTGGTCCACTGAAGGGGGAGTTCTCCTCCTCTGCCAACTGACCATAGCTTATCAGGTCTCATCAGGACTGCCTGGATTTCTTCCTTTAAGAATTTACTGATGTGATTGCCTTAGAAGCATGAAGAGGCAAGCAATCTACCAAAGCAGCTGTTGGCCCAGCCCAAGCGCTTCTTTTTCCTAAAGGAAGGGACCACATCACATCGTTCAATTCTAATCTCATCTGTGAAGAGCACATTAAGGTGATTTGTGTTCTTAAAATTCATATGTTGAAGCCCTAATCCTTATTACCTCAGGATGTGACACCTTTAGAGACTGATCTAATCTCAGCAGGGGCAGCAGACAGGAAAGAGCGTGTGAGGGCAGAGGAGGAAACAGCCACTGCCCGCTGGGAGGCTGGCCTTAAACCACCTTGGGCGTCCAGAGCCGTGGACAATAGCTACTGTTGTGGAAGCCACCTAGTCTAGGCTGTTTTGTTTTTCTTTAGTGGGTGTCCCACAGACTAACATGGAGAGCCGGCCAAAGAGTAATGTTTATATATCCTGCAAATCTTACAATTCCTGTCACATCTGCTGTACTCATTTACGGTTCCTCTTACCGTGAAATGAATTCCAGAGAGTTCCCTGGCTTGGAAGTAAAACTTCTACCTTTTCCATGTGTTCCCTGTGTGCTCAGTTAATTAAAAAAAAAAAAAAAAAAAAAAACAAAAAAAAACTCCCCCTTAAACAGAGATCTGCCAACTTTTTCTGCAAAGGACCACACAGGCAAGATTTTTAGTTCAGAGAATTTTTTTTTCTTTATTTTGGTTTGGCTTTTAAGCAACAAGAACAAACTAACTCACAAGCAAAAATGTCCACTTAATTGTTTTCTTTTCACAAGGATCTAAAATATAAAACCCATTTTATTTGGTGGATATACAAAAGCAGACCACAGCTGACTTCAGCCGTTGGGATGTGGTTGGCTGAGCCCTGATTTTGTCTTCACAAGGGCACTGTGAGGGGTCATAATTTCTGTCCATCCAGCTCTGACCTTCACTGAACCAGGACTTCTGCAGTCAGATACCCAAAAAGTGTTTTTAAGATCTTGCCCCATGAGAGAAGTCCAGAGAAAGAAAATGATTTAACCTAAAGGAAAGCAGAGTTTAGGAAAGACCCTGGTGTTTCACGCTCTGTCATCCCTTTCTTGTTTTGCTTTTGGCATTGGTCTGCTTTTCATGATTATAACTAAGTGCCTTGGGCTGGATAACTTTATTTAAAAAAAAAAAAAGTTTATT